AACAGCTAGAAAAATTACCAAAAAAGTCATATTATTATTGTAATTATAACAATTCAGTCCTAATTTTTTTTTTTGCCAATTGAGCAAAACAAACAACCGAACTGGAAACCACATGGACCAGACCGATTGAATTAGGAATCGCCAGGACCGGACTAAATAGGCCAATTTGATCCGGTTTCTAATTCCTAAAAGTGGAACTGGAGTCCGAGCGGTCCAATTTTTTGCGGATCGAACCGGATATATAATTTTGTTTTAATTTCTTCAAAAAATTAAGTAAAGTAAAGTGAAATCCTAAGTGAATTTTAGTCCTCCTCCTCCGAAAGTTACACCGCCTTCAATAATAACACAAATAATTTTAACTTTTCTGTGAGCTATTCTCTACTGGAACACTTACTACAGAATTACAAAACTTTCGAACTGATTTCAAAGAAGGAAAACATACGAACCTAACCGTTGTAAGCAAACTTGATGTGAACATAAATTGCAATAATGTACAATAAATAAGCGGTTTCGTTACACTGAATTAGATCGGGAACTGATCACTCTTAACTCCGGTCGTGATGTTATTCCAGCAAAACCCTGAAAGTCCTGTTCCGAGATGCGATGGGGATAAGGCTCCGCAGATCTGGCTTTGGCCAGGGAGGGGCGGCGCCACGTGTAAGCATGTTACCCGCGTAAGGCGGCAAACTGCCTCCTTTTTGGCTTTTTGTCTTCTTCTGTTCGACGCGACATTAGATATCGCCTACCTCGGCCCGCATTGATGGCCCCTTCTCACGACATCATCTAATGTACTTGGGACCCAAAACAAAAGTAAGTACGAGAACAATGAATGGCCCCTCCAAGTTTCCAGAAATTCCAAAAACCTCCCCCGGTTAAATATCACGAGTTCTACCTGCGGTAAAAAACTTGTACGAATGATTTTGAAAAATACTTTTTTAAAAATAATCGCTTAAAATAATTAATCGATTAAAATAATTTTCATTATTAAAAATAATATATATCTAGATATTTTTATGGAGATGAATATATTTTTCGTTCGTTCATTCATTCATGTAAGTGATACAAACGACCGTGGTATGGTAATAAACATCTCCCAAGATCGTATGAACACCACATTGATCGGCCTAGTATGGATAAGATCGTACATCTAGCTTGATATGGGACTTCCGGTTAATTTTAGGGACATAGAGTGCAACTATACAAACATCTAGAGCTAACAATCCGAGTCCTGTCAAAACGATGGGGTATAACATGAATGTGGCTCATCCGAACGCGACCCATTTATGAGACTCGTTGAACTGTCTCGACACGAACATAATACCACCTAATAAAAATGGGATGCACGGCGTGGCACGATTAACATGATTATTGAACGTGTCACCATATAAGGCATCAACATGACACGATGCATTAAACCGTTTACAAATATACGGTTACTTGCGTACAAATTAAACACGTGTATACCCGAAACTTGTATTAACATGTGTTCTAACGCAATATGAGTAATTTCAATGCATTATACATCTAAAATGTATTATTAAGTTAGTTTTTACTATATTTAATGACTTTTGTGTTCTAAATATATTGTTTATTTGCTTGTTGTTTTCGATATGGGTGTTATTCTCATAAACTTTTATTGGTGACAAAAACCTTTACATGAAACATGTTAAAAATGTATCTAATTGTGTTGTGTCGAATCAAATGATGCATTAACTCGAACATGTCGATTCATAATGGATCAAGCGGGTTAATTCAGGTTTGACAATATTTTGTTTTGCGCCTTTCACGATACGAAACCAAGTATGCCAAATCCAAACTTGCTTAATTGCGATCAAGTCGTGCAAACAGATCATGTCAGGAATTGCTGACCCCAACAAAAATTCCCCTCGAACCGATATACCGGCTTGGCCATATCTAGGAAATGCACAAATCGCAATTTCAAGAAGATCTGCCTAGATGTATATAGAAAAAAGATAAGCGGATCGATCTTATGCCCAATTTTGGCAATAAATATTTTATTCCTTCTGTTTAAAAATTTCGTTCAATTAAATAATTCTGATCTCTTAAAGTTGCAGCTGTCTTTGCCATTTTCTGATCATTGCAAGAGGGCAAAAAGTACGTCAGCGGGCGTTGTCGTTTCGCAGCGTCACATCATGCTTTCTTTGAAAACCGAACCCGAAATCTAGAAGCCTCTTGCGTGGGACCCGTTTTCTTTCCTAGTACGAGGTAAAATTATTTTTTTTTCCCTGGACATTGCCTTCGGAACACTATGAATTAACTTTTCCATGTCCGTTTGATGCCAAACCATGGTGTTAAATTATAAATTTTATCTACGTGTACAAAATAGATGTGCAAACAATTTCGACCTAAAATATTTTGCCTAAAATTCCACAAAAGCCCATGCTCGCTATGACGAATAATAATCGTGTATTACTAAATAATGGACCAAAAAGTAATAATCACATTACACTCTAAATATCCCATAGATTGTAATTTGGAATAGCTTTCCTCATTCTGTAATAATCTAGAGTTATTTTCTAAAGCAGATCAAATTATAGCTTTTCATTAATATTTTTTATATTGCACTCGTACGATATGTGCGTGCATTTTTGTCTTAAACTTATGGATAGAACCTTGAGGCTTCATTTAATGAAGCATGTACTGAACTAAATTATATACATAATTTCTGGTGGCAATTGATCGAAAAGACTACATTGCATGTTTAGCCTATTTTTTTAACCAATTTCAGATATCGAATGGCCAATTTCACATGTTATCTCGATCCACTCGCGAGTCCTGAGTAGGAGCATGGAAATGTATAACAATACTCATTGATACTTGATGTGGATTAATCGGTTGCGTAAAAATCGACGCACCTATCATCGAAATAAAATTCGGTCAACGTCACTACAAACTCGATTAATCTGACTAGGGAAAATGACACAAATGACTCTTGAACTTTGGCCTGATGTGCAATATGATTTTTGGACTTTAGCCCAATGTACAACGTCGTCCCCGAACTTCCAATTTGTTCAATGTGGTTCCTAAATATTTAATACATGTTCAATTTAGTCCCTAGACTATATGAAAATGTTCAATATTGTCCCTGAACTTAAACTAATTGAAGGATAACACTGAATATTTTGATATTGTTCAGGGACTAACTCGAACAAGTACCAAAAGTTTAGGAACCGCGTTGAATAAATTAAAAGTTTAGGGATCACATTACATATTTGACTAAAATTATGAATTATATTGAATAAATCAAAAGTTTAAGAGCTACGCTGTATCTTATCTGCCTATCATTAACCCTCTTACTTTTCCGATTACTCTGCAAAGAGAAAAAATAGGCAAAGAGGAAAACGAATGAACAAGTTGCGAATGGTCGTCCCATGAAATGTGGACGACACGTCCCATGAAATGTGGACGACACGTCCCATCATTATCGACGGGGTTAATGTAAAAGGGCGGGACCGTGGCTACTGGGGTGTCGCTCTCGTCCCTTTTTGTCATCTTCCTCATAATTGACTGAACGAGAGGCAATGGTGCCTCCCAAGATGTTGACATTTCGATTTTTAGTCGCAAAGCATATCTCATTTCTGTCCAACCCCGAGATTCGCTGCAGCGTGTCCCATGTGACGACATTTTAGGAGCAAAAATGACCTCATTTTCCCTGGCCCGGCTCGTGCCGGGTTAGCGTCTCGCGTGCAACCAATTAATCGTGTTGCGTTTAGGAGGGAAAAATTTCCAATTCGGTCCTAAATTTATTATGTGAATGACAATTTAATCATAATCTTTTTAGATTTGAAAATGTAATCATTCCAAAATCTTTGAACGAAATTTCAATATAATCATTCCAATCAATTGCCCGTAAAAAATTGTCGACGTGGCGATCCACAAGGTGTCTAACTTGGCAGGCAGCATAGGACGGCCGGTGATGATTGGACATCACGTCGGCGAATCCCCTGCTGCAATTGGCTTGGAGGACCACGTTGGAATTTCGTGTAAAGGTCTAGAATTATGTCGTGGAAATTGAAAGATTCAGGATCAAATTGATAGTCATTCAATAGATTTAGGACTAAACGAGGTAATTACCCCCAATTTTTTGGTTGTTGCCTTGCTGTGGCTTTTTAGTAAATTGGAGAAGCTCTTTTTGATTTTTTTTTGGGGGGGGATTAATTTTGGGGGGGTAAACAATTGCCCATGTTACATAATAGTGGTCAGAATTGAAGGGGGCCTGTGGACCACGAAGCTTTCGGGATGATTCATTGATGTAAAAACAGAATATTCATTCGCTTGTGGTTGTGTTCTATCGCGTACCACCCTATTCTCTTCATTTTCAAAAGGAGCCGTATCATGTGATTTTCTGATCACGACCTGTCATTTCCCCCTTTTCCGTGCTTCCTCTCCAGTAAATTCACGATTTTTTTGGCTTCTTTTTTCTTCTCTTTTTTGGTTGAAGTCTTAAACCATGAACGATATATTTTTATAGCGAATTTCATTAAGGAATTAACATTTTTCGCGGGCGGCTTGACACGTCAGTAGTATGCGCGCGCGATTATGTAAACGGAGTATTCAATACATGGGTATGACCAATAAATTAAGCGCCTATCCATGTTCCCTTATAACCTCACAAGTACACGGGACCGTTGTAACCGCAAGACACCAGCAAAAGTAGAAGGCGCCTAAAACGGGCACACGGGAAGTGGAGCAATTAGCTTCGCGAGATATTCAGGATTAATGTCCGCGTGCATTTCATTAAAAATTTCTATATAACCTAATGTATGATTTTAGGAGACACTAATCTTGATGATTTTAATAAATTTCATATTTGCCCCCATCCTTTCCTTTTCTTCCCAAAGTTGCCGACTTTGAGATGACGAAATTACAATTTTAAGCCTCTCCCCCGTGGGGACGTTACATACGAGCACTTCTCAAGTACAAAAGATCCGCTTTTCTCTGCTGAACCGCAGAATTCCAGCTCTCTCTCTCTCTCTCTCTCTCTCTCTCTCTCTCTCTCTCTCTCTATCTCTGCCCTGCGTTCGCTCACTCTCTCTCTCCTCTTCGATCCGGCGAAGAAGCTCGGAAGAGAACCCTCCATTGCTTTGCTCCTCCGGCTCCACCTTCCCGGTTCCCCGGAAGGCGCCGTGCGCCGCCGCCGCTTCCCGGTGCTCCGTTCCGTCGTCATCCGGTCGCGCGCGCTCGTCCGTCGTCGTCTGAGGCCTGGGAGGAGAGCTCCGGGGGATCGCAAGAGCTTCGTCGAATCCGCTCCGGTAAGTTCGTTCGTTCTAGTGACGGCGAGAGCCGTTTTGGGTCGGCGTTTTTCGGTCGTGGGGGGGTGTGCGTGCAGGGCTGCTTCTGTCGGGTCGTGTTGCGAGGAAGCTGGAAAGTGAGAGGGAGTGTGAGGATGTGAAGGTCTAGCCCACCCCTAGCGTGGCGTCTTTTTCAATGTTGTTGATGCTTCCTGGAAGCTGTAGAGAGCTGAGTGAAGAAGTCGCCCGAGTTTTCTCGGGGATCAAACAGAGCTCTGTTAGGAGACCCGAGCTTAGAGTTTTCGCGTGTCGATGCCGTCGCTTGTTGAATCGAAAGATTTGTGTTTGAGAACTCCAACCTGTTGATATTGGTCAATCTGATGATTCTTTTCTGCATATTTCTTTTACTGACTCGAAAGCGGTCTTTTTTTTATTATTATAAATTTTTCTTGTGTTTGTTTCACTTTCAAGATCCTTGCAAGTGTAAGTTTGCGGAGGTACGACTTTATTGATGCATTGGCTTGCAGTCGAGGCATCAGTTTATTTATTGATTCACGTCGGATTGGACGTGTTGTGTGGTTTTTGAACTTGAGCTTATGAATTCCTCCTTAAGTTGGTGAAGAATCGAAACCGAAAGCATGACCTGACAGATGCGACGCCACGTATGTTGAAACTAAAGGAATGAGAATTATGCACATTTTTAGTATTGGAAGAGGAGAATTCTCTCTGTTTTTCTGCTTTGTCTTATGTTGTGTTGAAAATATGAAAGAATCTATTTAGCCAATTGTATTCGATAGAAAATTTTTTAGTTACTGTCGTTCTGGTGTGCCCTCTGCTTTCTGCTAAATGCACTTTCTGCACTGTATGACTCGTGTAATGCTACTGGCACTTTGGGATTTTACAACTCACATCTAAGCATTTATAGTGCGCAACGGAATATGCTTGTCCTTATATTCTGTTTCTCTATTTTATTCGAATGACATGATATACTGTTCTTCAGAAGCTTTGAGTCATAGGGTAGAAATCTTGTATGTCTGGCTTGAGAATGTTCCCTTCTACAGTAAGATGAAATCAGTAACTCTCTCTGGAATCTGGCAAATTCTTTCGTGGATGCGGTCCAGGGTGGACTGGGGGGAATCTCAGCTGTTAATCATGTGGGTCCCCACCTACAACATCCAATGGTTGTGATTCTCCCTGTCCATACAAGTATTTCCCCTGCAATTCAGATACTATTGTTTTCTTTGACATGGGAGATTGTCGTGTTTATGTTGTTCTTTCAACTAAATACAAAAAAAAAAAAAAATTCCCCTTTTGATGTGAAAGTTCTATGCTTTATTTCAGAAGGACATCTTCTCTCTAACTTTTCCCCCTCCCTAATGAACTTTTGTGACGTATTGCAGAGCCATGGTCGCCTTTGGTAAAAAGCTGAAGGAAAGGCAAATTCAAGAATGGCAAGGGTATGATCGGCTGCAATGTACAGGCTCATATTGTCAAATTGTTAGTTTGAAATCTAGGTCCCGGAAAATGTTATGAGTGTATATCTTATCACCAGAGGTTGGAAAAGCCACACTGAGTGTCAACCAATCTGTCTCACGTGGAGTTTTCTGCCATTCTATTTGAAATGTGTTATTTCATGTGCCTCATATTTTTTTTGATAATGCTTACTACTGTGTCTAAGTCGAGGTAGCTATCTTCTCAAATAATGGAGTGAACTTGACAACTTGTCATGAGACTCTGCTTCTGTGAAACTCCATGCATGCTTGCTGGTGTTCAATTTGTTCCAGGGAATGTCTTTTGGTTCTTTGAATTCTTTCCTATGCCCAATTGATGTCCTAATATATAAATAGTGCTGCCTTCAGGTTTTATGTATGCCCTTGCAGTTGCATCGTATAAAGTTATTGAAGATACTATCGCTGCATTACCTTTTTCCTGATATTAAATTGATAGGTTCTTAATTTGTCCCTCTTTAATCAAATTCTCCAGTTATTACATCAACTATAAGCTGATGAAGAAGAAAGTAAGACAATATGCTCAACAAATTCAAGTTGGAACTCAAGATCGCCGACATGTTCTTAAGGATTTCTCTAGAATGTTGGACCACCAGGTACATGGAGCTGTAACTCTGTACAGTCTTACAAGCATTTGCAGGCGGGAAGGTTTCTTTTCTTTTCAGAAAAAATAGTTCAATTATAAATACTCCTATATTACTTAGAATGCATTTGGATAATAACATCTTACTAGCCCTTTAGGAGTTTTTTTATGCTTATGAAGTTCTGTTATCTGGAAGCAATGATGTGAACGGATTCACGAATTCAACTCCACATTGTGGGACTAGTTGTAGTGTCCTTCTTTGAGATCGATTGAACAATGAGCAAGGCATGGAATAGTTTATCGTACTTAAAGGGCCTGTTAACCAACCGATACCAACTCTTATTTAGGAGAAATCCTTTTGTGCAGTGACATTGAGATTTTAGGGAAAAGGAGTTATTTTATTGCATGTATACTTATGAGAATGAGGACAAGTATTATGATAATTTCAATACAGATGCAGTGGTCTTGATATTTACCTTTTCTGTTGCCATGTTTCTTTCTTATCTTTGTTCTCATGGGATGATTGATAAAAGATCACTATATGGTGGGATCCTGCAAAGGAATTATATAATTCAACTCTTTTTTTTTATGGAAATTCATTTCAAATATGTTTAATGAGTCACCTGATAATATCAGATTGAGAAGATTGTCCTTTTCCTGTTGGAGCAACAAGGTTGCCTAGCCAGCAGGATTGCCAAGCTAGGAGAGCAGCAAGAAGCTCTTCAGCAGCAGCAAGATATATCAAAAATATCTGAATTAAGAGAAGCTTATAGAGAAGTGGGGCGAGATCTTTTGAAGCTCCTTTATTTTGTTGAGTTGAATGCAATTGGTCTGCGAAAGATACTGAAGAAGTTCGACAAACGTTTTGGATATAGATTTACAGACTACTATGTCAAAACTCGTGCTAATCATCCTTACTCTCAGCTTCAGCAAGTGTTCAAGCATGTGGTATAAGCTTAGTCCAGCATCTTTTTTTACTTAGGTTATTCATGCTCCATTTTGTTAGTATCTATTATAAAACTGGAACTTCTCCATCGATTTAGATTAATGGCATAGGCACATTATAACAAGCTGGCCATGTGCCAAAATTCCAGGGGATAGGGGCTGTTGTTGGAGCAATCTCCCGCAACCTTGCGGAGTTGGAGGATCGCCAAGGAAGCTACTTATCAATCTATGACCAGCCTGCTCTTCCTCTGCAGGTTTATCTCCACTAGATATTCTTCATGCGATGTAATTTGTATTTCGTGGTTGTTTCCTACTTCAGAATGATGTTCCACTATGATATTTACCAAGGTTCTTCTGCAGGATCCCACAGTCGAGTTAATAAAAGCAGCAGTAGACAGGTTGACCCACTCAACGAACTTCCTACACTTTCTGGCACAGCATGCATTAATTTTGCAGGAGGAACTACCAACTCCAGTTGAGGAACAAGTTGACGATGGAAGATACCATTTTATGTCTTTACTGTTGAACCTGGCGAACACTTTTCTATATATGGTCAATACATACATCATTGTACCCACAGCAGATGATTATGCCACGAGTCTTGGTGCTGCTGCCACAGTTTGTGGAGTTGTGATTGGAGCAATGGCTGTTGCACAGGTGTTCTCTTCAGTATATTTCAGTGCGTGGTCAAATAAATCATACTTCAGACCTCTTGTCTTCAGCAGTATTGTCCTCTTCCTGGGCAATACCATGTATGCAATGGCCTATGATCTAGATTCGATCGCTATTCTTCTAATTGGTCGTCTTTTATGTGGGTAAGAAGCCTAACTCCTTGTATTTTTTTTTTTGGTAAGGTAACTCCTTGTATTTTTCTTTTTCAAACAATCAATTTTGCAAAATTTAAGCACTCTGTCATTCAATCTGCCAAGGCAGATTGGCTTAGTTTTCTGGTGGGTCATAGGTAATGTGAACATCTTTTATTTGAAATGAAGGACACAATACTTTGACCTTGTATGTTAGGACACAATCACTTTGACCTTGTATGTCGTATTCTTAAAGGAGAAGGAAATTATCACTGGCCGAATAATCCGGATGTTGTACCAATATGTTTTTCATCAAATAGTAATTTGAGTCCTAAACAGGCGTCGTCTGAATACAAAGAAAATCTGTCACTGCACACATAATGTCGACAGCCCCTTCTAACAATGGTGCTTAGTCTTGTTCAATTATCTATCAGAAGATTGCTCGGTTATTAATCACTAATTAAAGCAGAAGGTCGGTGCTCATTTTGAGATTGATCATGTCTTTGAAATCTTGAAGAGTATGTTGATAAAGAAGCCTTTAACTATGCATGTCCTAGACAAGGCGAGACTTGTGTAGCCTAACCACTGGAAACCACTTGAAACTTTCTGAAGGTCTGTCCTCTAGATTACAGGTGGACAGGCTATGTTCTTGAATTTGAAATTTCAGTGTTAGTCCTATCAGGTTCTCAAGTATGCTGCCTGCTATTAACACATCTTTGACCCTGCAGATAGTGTAACCCCTAAATTGTGCATCAGATTGTAACAAATTTCCCTGTATAATTGCAGATTCGGCTCTGCTCGAGCTGTTAATCGACGCTATATAAGTGACTGTGTACCTATGAAGATCAGAATGCAGGCATCTGCAGGTTTTGTGAGTGCTAGTGCCCTTGGCATGGCCTGTGGTCCTGCTCTTGCCGGTTTATTTCAGTGTCATTTCAAATTTTTCAAAATTACATTCAATCAGGAGACTCTGCCTGGATGGGCAATGGCTGTGGGATGGCTCTTGTACTTAGTATGGCTGTGGATTTCATTTAGAGAACCCTCCCATGAGAAGGAACCAAGCCACACGCCAGAAGAGTCTAATGAAGGTAAGTTTTTTTCACTTGCCATCAACTTTTCTATGGTCATGTCATTACGGGTCCAACAAAGCCTCCACCTTTCCTAGTAACTGAGAAGCTATCTTTGGGATTATGAGCTGCATCTTATCATTTTTTTTTGGGTAAGGGCATCTTATCATTTAATTCAACCATGAAAGACTACCTGTTTCATCATTATCTAACTTTTATAAAATGTGGAAAATTTAATCTTGATATCCAGATGTAAAACGTCATTGGAATTTAGCATCCACTGTAATCTTGACGACTAGATATTGATATCTATCAGGACTCATTGTCAATTAAGAAATCTAATATCCAGTTGGCTTTAACTTTTGCCTGCATCATATGGAGTTAATTGTCCTCTTGTCTAGAGAATCATTGCATTTGCAACGTCTTGTTCATAGTTTATGTGTCTTTGTTGTTATCTTAAAAATTTTGCTCGACAGAATCATTACAAACCGATGCTCTTGAGAATGGTCTCGAGCAACCATTGCTCATAAGTTCAGAGGAAAAAAATGAAGGTGAAAATGATGATCAAGAATTTGATGGAAGTGATGAAGCTTCTGAGGAATCTCACCAACCAGCCACTTCAATTGCATCAGCATATAGGCTACTAACGCCCTCTGTGAAGGTATTGGAATGATCCCCTGGACTGCTCTTTTTAAACACGCAATGCAGCTTCATGCAAAATCAAATTTGCCCAAAGAGATCCCATCTGCAGTAGACTTGCATGCACTGTGTTCTATGGATTAGTTTGTAATTCACAGCATGCGTTTCCAGAGTGGATTCTTTTAGGCCTGAAACATTCGTATGAGTATTGTGAGTTCATGAATTTATCATCACCAGCAACTTTTTCTCTATAATAAATCTACAATGATTGCTTGGTCTTTCTATTGGCTCTCTGTGTCATCAAAGCCACAGTACATGCTCGAATTGAAACTTGAATTTATCTTTTATATGTTCATTCTTTCTAGTCAAATGTTCTCTTGCATTCTTCTTTTTAAAGTTGGATTAGAATGGTTCATACTTCAAATGTACTCTAACTATACCTATGTTTTTAGGTTCAATTGCTGATTTATTTCATGCTCAAGTATGCAATGGAGATTTTGCTCTCAGAATCTAGTGTCATCACCTCATACTACTTTAGATGGTCAACAACCAAAGTGGCAATTTTCCTTGCATGTCTTGGCTTGACGGTTCTTCCAGTAAATATTATTGTTGGAACCTACATTAGCAACATGTTTGAAGACAGGTAATCCCAAATGTTTGAGAAGTTATTTGGCTTATATTCTACTTCTTCATCATTGAAATAGTTTGTAACTGTTCTCATCGATATGCTTGCAGGCAAATTTTGCTGGCATCTGAAGTCATGGTTTTCATAGGCATAGTACTAAGTTTCCACCTAATAATACCCTATTCTGTTGCTCAATACGTGTCTTCTGGGCTCATCATGTTTGTTTCTGCCGAAGTTCTCGAAGGTATTGTATTAGTTTAGTTTACTCTCTCTAGGAAAAAGTCAATTTTGTATGTGAATAAACATAGAGAAATGGCCTCCTAGGGGATATAGAAAGGCAAGAATCGAGCGAATCTAGAACTAAAAATCCATCCCTGGGAAAAACGAAGATTTCCAAGAAACTGCCATAACCAATTTAATCTTCATCTGTTAAGGCAACTCCTGCAATCTTACTGATAGCTTATGAGGATGACATAAAGGGATCATGCACCCATTTCCTAAGTAGTAAATTTCGGCAAAATGTGTATGATGTCCGTGAACATAGTGGAAAAAACTGCTAAACGTGTGGATCATTAGAGACAGCTCTCTGGTTTGGACAATGCAGTGGACAGGTTCAAATGCATGCTCTGAAACCATCGTGCAATTTATGGGAGAGTCACGGCTGGAAATTACCATGCAATTTATGGAGAGTGCATGGCAGAGAGAGAGAGAGAGAGAGAGAGAGAGAGAGAGAGAGAGAGAGAGAGAGAGAGAGAGAGAGAGAGAGAGAGAGAGAGAGTGGGCAGGGATTTTTGCATTGGTTCTTGTTGACATTTTTTTTTTTTCGTATTCTTGGACATTTTCCAGGTGTCAACCTGTCGCTACTCTCGCGGGTCATGTCATCCCGGCTTTCACGGGGAACCTACAACGGTGGCTTACTTTCGACAGAAGCGGGAACGATCGCCCGGGTGATCGCAGATGGCACGATAACGTTAGCCGGTTACTTGGGGGAGAGTAGGCTCTTGAACATCACCCTCCTTCCTTCACTAGTGATTTGCATATCATCCATCATGGCCACCCTTTACACTTACAACTCCCTCTACTAAGTTTCTTGTCTCTCGTAGCCATACCCCATTTTAATGCCATCCTATCCTTGTTCTCTTGTCCTTCCTTATTCAATTTTCTTCTCCAATAATGTATGTATAGGTGCTCTAAACTGTAACTAATGAGGTCGATTGACTTTTTCTGGAGTGGGATTCTCTAGGGCTGCGTTTGGTCGTCTGGATTTCTAGCCAGAATAGGACTTGATAGGATAGGATATGAAATCCAAAGATTTTTGCTGTATTCTATCCACTTTTTGGTGAATCATGGTAATAAAGCGGGATATTTTCATATTTTATCAAGTTGATTGTTTGCTATGAACGGCATATAAGTGTAAATGAACTTAAAAATTGCACCAATGGATATAGTAAGAGTCTCTCACTACACTCTTACCCGCATCATTTTTATTTGCTTATTTCTTATTATTTTTCCCTCTCTTTTTTTTATTTCTTTTTTCCCCTTCCATCATACTTCAATAGAATTTCGTTAAATAGTAAACTATACTAATATACCTAAAATATGTAATAAATATAAATACTAAAGATGTATATGGAATTTATATCATAAGATAAAAAGAAATTTGAATACATAAATAAAAATAGGAATATCTAAAAATGAAATTGTTGTTATTTTTTGTAATTACGAATTTTTTATATTAGAATTCAAATATTATTTTAATTTTATTAATTTAACAAATTTGTTATTTGAGAAAAATAACTTTTATAATATGAATATTGGAAATCCCATTCACTTTTATTCGAGTTATGTTCATCTTATATCAAACATTATCCTATTTTGGACAGGCACCAAACACAAGATATGATAAATTTTATCCTATCTTAAATCTTATCCTAACTAGAAACGTAGCTTAGAAGTTTTCGATCGGACTCATTCCCTTAGTAGATATCACTAATTTACTCTCTCAATCCATTTTCAAGCTTTGACCACCAAAGTAGGTCGATGGCCAGTGGCCAGATCGCGCTCTTCCTGTTGTTTAACGCCGTTTACGTTCGTAATGGAGGCGAGATGTACCGGAGCGCGATTAAATTGCCGGAAAAGAGAACGGCGTCACCGGATCGTACTTCTTGGAGGCACGGCACGGTCAAGTTCTGCATCCAGACGATGTGAAGTTGGACCAATAATGGTGAAACTACAATCTCAGGCTATTCATGGCTGTGGATACTAGTTGAGCGGGCTTTCTCAAGGGAGGTCTCATTAATGAGATTTCTAAGTGGGTAGTGAGGAATTGACAGGCTGAGGATTTTGGATGGGATTGTGGCGGATTTCATGACAGAGAGAGAGAGAGAGAAGACGTGGAGGAACCTTCGCGCCAAAGGAAAAATTATCGAAAAAATCTTAAATATATGCATTTATGTTAATTTAGTTTTAAATCTTTTAATTTGGCTAATTTACTCATTCAGGCAAATTTTGGCCGGAAATTGCTGATGTGGATGCCGTCTGTCCTTCGTGATGCTAGTTGTCTTACGTGGTACAGACGGTATTGATGTGAATAATTCTTATAATTTTGTTTTCTCTTCTTTTCTTTCTTCTTCCTCCATCAGTCGCCAAGCCTTGGCGTTGGCCGGCGATCGGCCATAGTTGATGATCGGCAAGGGCCGGCCTCGCCAGCTTTGGGCGAGTCTCGCCCGAGGTGAGGGAGGTTGCCTCTCGCCTGAGGTCAGCGAGGGTGACCCTCATGGTCGTCCGGCAGAGGAAGAAGGGAAAAAAGAGAAAATAAAAGTACAAAAAAAAATCAAAGATGATTAAAAAAAAGTTCAAAAATCGTTCACGTTAGTGCCGGCCATACTGACTTCCACATTAGCAATTTTCAGTCAATTGGACTAAATTGAAAAATTGTTAAAAGATTTATGACTAGATTACAAATGCTTTGACTAAAAAAAATCGGCACGAATGCAATAATTTTAAGACTTTTTTTTGGTAATTTCTCCCGTGCTAACCGGTTATGCTTTTCGTGAGGAACCAATACCAAGCACGCAAATGCACCATTGTATTGTAAAGATCAAATTTGTACTGCTTAGGCCCCCCACTGATCAGTCGTGCATATCCAGAGTCCTTCTTCCCCAGTCACATTTGCCCAAAGGGACAAAGGAAGCGAAGGAGGTGGCAAAAGATTAAATGCCACCACCTACTCAACACCCCCACTCGATGTTCGATAGGACAAGAGGCTATCACGCCACCACCCCCTCCACTTCTCTCGCTGCCCACCTACACACCTCCTCCAACCATCATCCCTCCGGCCTCATCTCTCCTTGCAAGATATTCAATGTCAAAACACCTTGTGCCAACAACGGAAGACATCTCTTCGCCGATGCATCTTTACAAATACAAGCGATCGTTCTAGGAAAATGTCTTCCCACGACGCCGATTTCTCGAGAAATGAACGCGCCCGACAGCAGATGTGTCCAAACGCTTATCGTTAACGGGATTCCGACGATGAATTCCATCTGAAAATTGGTAATTCATCTACTCCCACATAAAAAAAAAAAAAGAAGGGCAAAAGAACAATAAGAAGAAGAAGCTGCCCCATAACTTTGTGTCATCTCTATTTTATTTTTTTCCACGGACATAATTGCGAGTCGAATTAATTCCCATGGTCCAGATAGGCTAAAGTGAATTTATGAGGTCTTTCCAGATCGGGGTCGTATTAAGTGAGAAGCCGAACCACCTCGTGTCAAGTGGTTGGCTCCTCATTAAATTTCCACGCCTCCTCCCGCCAAGTAGCGAAAGCAAAATCCCCCCAAAATTCAAACCCGTCACATGGCTCTTCCTCGAGCTCTCGATTGATTCGTGTTTGGGAATAATAGATTGATGTTCATGACGACAAAAAAACGTTTTGCTCCATCGAATGATGAGTTTTAGGAGGTCTCTCTTGGTCTTTGCCGATCCTTAACAACTCTCTTTGATTTCCGACATACTGTGTCGTGTGGGGGCGGTTTCGATTTTCAAGATGTTGATTGTGCACTTTAGTTGAGAAGTTAATGCGCTAACAATCATAATGTCTTCCCGATTGGTCGCTTAATCATTGCGATTTCCGGTTTAATCGAACCGTATAGGTTGAGTTGTGTGGAGTTGAAGTAAAGTGACCCGAGTAAAAAGCTTAGCGATCAAATTGTATCGAGGTTGGCAGAACATGCAAAACCAATACCGAATTGGGTATAAACAATTGAAGCTTAGTGATCCATACATAAGTTGTACAAAGTATGGTCATCACTTTGTGCTTTATTGCTTGATTTTCGATTAGACCTTTGTCAATGTAATAAGTGTTTACACCAAAAAATGACCAACTTTTGATTATTTTGGACAAGGGATAGATTCAATATATGAGAGTAGAGTTTGGTGAACAGTAAAAGTCATCGATGAAAAGAACAGTCGACAACTTAATGAGTAGAGCGGTAGTTTCGAATATTTAAGCTTTTTTAGATAAATGTCGACAACTTCAAAATCATCAACAACCAATAAAGTTATCAACAACAAACGTTAGTAATCTCGGATGAAGTCATCGACATCAACATTGACGTGTAATTGTCTACTAGCGATATTTTTAGCTATTTGAGCTTCTTGCGGATAAATGTTGTTGTAACTTCTTGTAACTGTAGGTAGATGAAGAAGTTATTCATCTAATTTAGTAACCACATGGGGATGAGAAGTCGTGGTGATGTGAAGATATGGAACCGAAAGCTTTGGAGATGTGAAGGCATGGCTAAAATTGCTGAAGAACTGCTTATAGACAATTCTGTTGTGAACTCTACAAATACTAGTGTTTGTGTATTATAGAAGCCCCCGCAAAAAACATACAAATCCCGTTATCTTTCAATTCTTATATCATAGTTATAGTTGTAGTTTCCAGATACCTCGTAGTTGATTAAATTCCGACATATATCTTAGTTGTAATTTCTAGATATTTCGTTGTTCAAATTCCAGCGTGTGTCTTTGCTATAGTTTTTGAGTGCTTTGTCGCCGATTAAATTCCAATGTTATATCTTTATCTTGTGTACTTTAACATTGATTAAATTCCGTTGAAGTATATGTATTAATTTCCTTGTGTACTTGTATGTTCGGAAGCGCCACGATACTCATTTTCTTTAATAAAAAACCGAAGAACAATTTTCAGTGAAAGGTATTTCATCGCCATGGCAAATTCTGGCAAAACGATAAGTAATATTTACACCGATATATTCCTTTTTTTTACCCGATATATGGTCACCGTTGAATGTATAAAATATGGGAGAATTGCCTTACAAAACAAACTCTCAGTAAACATCGATATGCTCATTCAGCAGCGGCTTATCATTATGCTCTTTATACTATGGAGCACCTAGAGAAAAATTCCATGAGTTAGGGTGATCGGTTCTCGGGCGGTCCGGTAACCTGGAGAACTGGATAGGGTTGGTCCGATTCTTGGGTGGGTCAATGGAACTAGTGGCAAATTCAGTTTTTTTTTTTATTTGTCGTTAATTTTCAAGATGAAATTGAATATGTTCTTGATAATTAAGGCATTTCTACAATTAGTAGGTTACGTGTAGTAGGTTTAATAAAGACTTTTCCAATTTGTTGCAAAATTTGGTTGGAATGAGCAACTATTGTTGTGGTTTGATTTATTCTTGTCATTTTGCTCAAGTGCATAAGCAAACGTATTTACTCCAATCTTGAAGGGCCTTCCTTTGTGAAATGGGAGATAGATTAGGTTTTTTTTTTTACAGATCCTTAAGAAATAAAAAAAATTAAAAAGAGTAGGTCCGGTCCGGGCGGGTAGTTCCACACCTGAAATCGGGAACCGAATCAAAATTCACCGGTTTCATAGGGAATTGGACTGGTACCCCCGAGAACCACCTATAACCGGTTGGTTCGGTCCGGACGGTTCCTTTTGCTCACCCCCACCGCGAGTGAGATTGAAGAAGAATGGTTCCAAAAATCAAATCTGCAATGATGTTCACATACCAACGGTGGCCAGAAATCCGACTCCAAACTCAGTAATTAGCCAATTAAATGCACCCATAATTTAGCAAAGGACCACCCATCCTGTCTCTCTCGAATTATACCAGTCTTCATGCACGCACTATACACGTGCTCGACGTCATAATGAATCAATAATGATATAAACAACTGTAATTGGATGGATAAGCTAAACACTCCGCATTGTTTTTCTTTTCTTAATACAATGCGAGTTCTTTAAAAAGGGATTTCATCAAGTGCAGTTTTTATGGACATTTAACTTCTTTTTTTCAACTTTTAATCCTTTTTACCAAATTTTCCTTTCTTTCTCTTTCAAGCAAAATGGTAATGCATGTGTTATAGTACTATGTAGGGTCCTATTCGAGTCACCAAATTGAATTTCATGAAAACCCCCCCGATTGATCATCCCCTGTCTATCTTTAGCGTTCTTCATTGCATGTCGTGTCTTGAAATACACTTGGAAAGTTAGTTCACTTTATCATCTTGGCGACCTTACTTCCTTCTTTCCTTCATCACATCTTCTGCATTTCCCCTCTCTCTCTCTCTCTGTATCCCATTCCCGGGCTCGCTCGTCGCCTTCGAGATCGGTGGCTTCCCTTCCTCGCCTGCATCGCCGTCAAGCTTGTTTGGTTCGAGGTTCTCGAGAGAGAGGCCAGCCAGCAGCATCGTTGTTTAAAAGGACATCATCGTTCATCTTGTTTTCTGGAGAAACCACAAGGTTGTGTCGGGGAGATTCTTCAAGAAAGTGATCATGGTTCTTGGGTTGTGGAGGTTCCTTGGAGCTGTATTTGCTGCAGTTCTCTTCCTTCATGGATCTTTCTCTTCAGCTGAAGGTACGCCTCGTCTTACACCCATCTTCGCTCTTTTTCTTGTTTTTAACTCACAGGGGACTCAATTAGTGCTCGATTAATACCATAATACTAATTTCCCGGGATACTCCTAGACCATGTTCGAGAGTGTATATATTAAATGTCATCCTTGGTTTTGAGCTAATAGAAGTAGCTTACATACCAGAAAAAAAAGCGTACATCTATAATACTTGCGTAAAAACGGGTACATAGATAAGTTAAATTCAGCCCGATATCGAATATAAACGCCATAAAAACGAGCTCGAGAAGGTCTCTCATTGAGAATTCAACATGAGCTGTCTCTCATGAATCATGGCATTGTAGATTAGCGACAGGATGAAGTTAAAGACGGGGTTGTTCTACCTACTTATTGCAGCTCAATATGTAGCCCATTTAAGGGAAGCAGCGGTGGCAATTGTATATCACATTCTTTCTCTTCCTTTTCATGGCCACACATCACATGGATCTCTGCTTCATTTCTCCAGTGTACCACACGAACTGATTCACAATGCTTTCTCCAAATTACAAAATGACAATGACATCATTCCCTTTCGGTGCAAAATAACAGCGAAAAATAAAAATTTATGTGCGAATTATGCGCATATTTATCGGAAGGAGGCAAAAAAAAAGAGAGCAACACTAACAAGATATGAAGGAGACTACATAGGAGCTGGGTCATCCCATGGTCCCTTCACATGGTTAGAGCAAATTCCAGTCAGCAAAATAAGGGATTTCCCTAACTTTTAAGGTAGGTGTTAGGTTTGGAAGTGGAATTATTCTTCTTATTATTAAAGAAACCGATGCAACTTTCTCTTTCGTTTTGTTTTTCCATTGTCTTGCATTAATTATCCACGCCCTTGATGAAAGGACATTCACTTAAGCATCATCATCTGTGTTTGCCTGGGAAATTTTCTGCATATGGTTGTTGACTGGGCCACAAGCAAGCCGGTTGTCGTGGCCTTAACGTGGATCCAAAGATAAATGCACCAATTTTTTTGTTCTATCTTTTTATTTGTATTACTAACACTCTATAACAGCATCGATCGGTTTTTTGTGTCGAGCAAAACAAGAGGCATTCTATCGAAACATTCTACAGTAGGTGCGAGACTCCTATAATAATGCCCAGAAGGGATTGTTGGCGCTAATCGCACGTTCCTGTCTTTAGCCTATCGCAAAAGCTAAATTAAAATTTTTTACAAGTAACTTAAATGATCTCCTGCCAAATGGATACATATATGTCCAGTCGCTTAAAAATCACGCTCAGCTCCTAGTTTCATCATGAAAACTGATTTTTAAAGCAGCTAAATTTATTAAGCCAATCATCATAAAAAAAAAAGAAAAAATAAACCGATACCCCCATAACAACTCGTATTCCATCATTTTCCTTTCAATATGATTCAATGAAATCTTCTTTTGACCAAAAAAAAAATTATAATAAAGTGGGATTACTAAGCTATGTTCTGCACAAATTTTAGGAAACTAAATTATTTTTTCGGAGGCGAATAATTTCCTCACCAAAATTTTCTTCTCTTTTTAGCCATGCCGCCTCGAACCTATAGCTTCATGCGCAACGCCACATCGGCGCCGCCGGTCTCATACTACGACTACATCGTCATCGGCGGCGGCACCGCCGGCTGCCCATTAGCGGCGACTCTATCTCAAAACGCATCCGTCTTGCTCCTGGAAAGAGGCGGCTCGCCTTATGGCAACCCGAACATCACCGAATTGGAAGCCTTCGGGGCGGCGCTCTCGGACCTCTCTCCGTCCTCCCCGTCGCAGCGTTTCATCTCCGAGGACGGCGTCATCAATGCGCGCGGACGAGTGTTGGGTGGCGGAAGTTGCCTGAACGCCGGGTTCTACTCACGTGCCGCTCCTGAATATGTGAGGTAGGTAGTGAAGTGTACACTATGCATTTCCCTTTTACTTATTTTTGTTTGCAGGGTCTAGTGCCCCACTTTTCAAACATGTTTAATGAAAAAAACATTTCATTTTCAAACTATTTATTGTACATATATGGCGAAAATAATCAGTGCATTGAAAATTTGTAATATTTTTCTGTTTGACTGCTAAACAACAATAAAATAATAATAATAGTTATATCTTAATCATCATCATCATCATCATCATCATTATTGAGTTTTCGGTTGACGATAGGGATGTGGGGTGGGATGGGAAACTGGTGAATGAGTCGTACACATGGGTGGAGCGGCTGGTGGCTTTCGAGCCCGAGATACGACAGTGGCAGTCGGCGGTGAGGGACGGGCTGGTAGAAATCGGCGTGGTTCCCAACAACGGCTTTACCTACGACCACATTTCCGGGACTAAGGTGGGCGGGACCATATTCGATCGATTAGGCCGGAGGCACACGGCCGCCGATTTGCTGGAGTATGCCAATCCCAAAGGCATCACCGTCCTCCTCTATGCTTCCGTGCATAAGATCCTTTTCAGGAGGAAAGGTACGCCTTCTTGTCACTGGATAAATGCACGATCTCTCCCTTACATGCTTTCATTGTGGGGGAGAAAGTTTATGATTGAGATTAGAGATGTTCAAGCTATTTAAAGATTATTCAAATCACCATTTTCTTTATCGCTCCAATAATTGTGAGTTCTTCAAAAGATGCACAACCTATTTCGCCTCCTCAAATTGCTCACTGAACAGGAATGCCAAGGCCCATGGCCCATGGAGTGACCTTCAGGGACTCGACGGGGGCCAAGCACAGGGCCTACCTTAGACAAGGACCCAAGAACGAGATCGTCGTCTCGGCCGGAGCCCTCGGGAGCCCGCAGCTCCTGATGCTGAGCGGGCTGGGCCCGAAGGCCCACCTCCAGGCCCACAACATCTCGTTGGTCGTGGACCAGCCCATGGTCGGGCAAGGCATGTCCGACAACCCCATGAACGCGGTCTTCATCCCGTCGCCGAACCCGGTGGAGGTGTCGTTGATCCAGGTGGTTGGGATCACTCAATTCGGGAGCTTCATTGAGGCTGCCAGCGGTGAGAACTTCGCCGGCGGTTCCTCGACCAAGGACTATGGCATGTTCTCTCCCAAGGTAAAGACTTCATATACATATGCATATACGTACGCGAGTGCCGTATTGTTTTGATAGGCTAGGATGTCGGGCCGATCTTGCTGGCACCTAGGTTGGATCGGGTTCAATTAGCTAGGACAATGCGGTCTAGGACGAGGAACAATGTTTTGCGGACTCTTACATAAATTATCACTGATGCACATAATCACTTAAAATCAATAATTTTCAATAACATGAATCTCATGCATTTTCCTTCAGTGGTAAAAAAAAAAAAGACTAATTACTCTAAACTCACACGATTGTTTCTTTAACGTGGAGTTATTTAACAAATCAAAGCACATTGCTATGGTATATCATCGTAGATTGGTCAGCTCTCGACGGTGCCGCCAAAACAAAGAACTCCGGAAGCCCTAGCGAAAGCCATAGAGGACATGAACAGCCTCGACAAGGCGGCATTCCAAGGCGGATTCATCCTCGAGAAAATAACAGGGCCCATGTCCACGGGCCACTTGGAGCTCCGGAGCCGCAACCTGAAGGAGAACCCCTCCGTCACTTTCAACTACTTCCAAGACCCCGAGGACCTGCGGAAATGCGTTGAGGGGATCTCCACCATCGAGAGGGTCATCGACTCCAAGGCGTTCGCTACCTTCAAGTACGACTCCATGTCGTTCGAGTCGCTGCTGAACCTGACGTTGAGCGCGCCAGTGAACCTATTGCCGAGGCACCGGAACACGACGACGTCGATTGAGCAGTTCTGCAAGGACTCGGTCATGACCATTTGGCACTACCATGGAGGGTGCCAAGTAGGGATGGTAGTGGACAGTGAATATAGAGTCTTGGGTGTGGACGCACTTAGGGTCATCGACGGTTCCACTTTTAATCACTCTCCCGGCACTAATCCTCAAGCCACGGTCATGATGCTCGGAAGGTAATAACTCATTATTACTCAAGCATTTTAATTTATAACGTCGGCGCAAAAAAAAAAAAAATATTATTTTCACAAGCGATGTCAAGTCAAATTGGCACATGCATGGATGGACGGATCTAGGATGAGTGGCCACGTGTTTAAGTCGTGCTCACGAAAAAAAGCATTTTTCCATGTATGACGATGGAGAATACTTGAAATCTAGGTTATGAACTGGTTTTTCAAAGGAGTTTTTGCATGTTCTGGTGCAGGTACATGGGGGTCAAGATATTGAACGAGAGGCTCGCAAGCGAAGCGTCCTAGGAGATCATCACCAGATGGGCGCATTCAGTAGCTGCTCTCCAAGGATAGTCGAAGTGTTATGAGTAGAAAGAAGCACAATACTGTATCAGAGAGTGCAGAAAGAAGCAAAATTAGGTATCAGCTTTTAAGTTGGTGGCAGAATAATGCTTGGTATGCTATACCAAATTCTGTTCCGTACCCCTTTGAAGAGAATATGATATTGGATATGCTTCCACGGTTCCGGGTATCGCAGCCAAAATTCCACATGCAAAAGAGATGGCATTATCTTTGCCGAGCTTTTACCCCTTTCTCCCTTTCATTGTCTTGAAATGTTGCGCAGACGTAAAAGTACTCGTCACCTCCCCACTTCATTGGTGGCTTTGAGCTGAGCGTTAGACGCCATTGCTGGATGGACTCAAACAAATTAACAATTTGCATGCATGCTTTATAATTCTTTCTGTAAGAGAGAGAGAGAGAGAGAGAGAGAGAGAGAGAGAGAGAGTATAAAATGTCACGAGACTACTTAATTTATATAGACCTAGCCACCACTAATGCACTTTCCTGATCGAGTTCTTTTAACCCCCAATATGTCTAGTAAATTACATGGACAATGTGTGCTATTGATAATCATACATTGAAATGTAGCTAAGGTTCTCAAGATTTAACTCCATCGCAGTTGTTTCTTAGTTTTTTTACTTTTGGGATAAAGCCCATATTGGTTCCTGAATTCGATTTGATTTTTGAACTTTAATGTTGGCCAAATTGGTGCTTATACTTTTTTTGTTTTAACCAATTTGGTTCTTTTAATTAACAAGGGGTATCCAACTCATCCTGTGGAATCCACATTTGTTGACGTGGCTATTCACGTATAACGACCACATGAGCAAATTAGCAAAAGATTAGGAAAATAAGGAAAAATAACAGCAGCACTGGAGGAGAGAGAAGAGAGAGAGAGAGAGAGAGAGAGAGAGAGAGAGAGAGAGAGAGAGAGAGAGAGTTGGGGGCGGCGCGGTTGCATTACCGCCGGGAAGTCTAGGGGACCCTTGCTGACCCTTGCTTTGTGGTGACATGCGGTAAGGCTATGATTAAGTGCGAGGGCGAGAAGGCCCTCACACAGACACCAGCAAGGATTGAGGGCGAGATCTTGATGATGTTCGCCGGGCCTTGCTGCCTGTCTCTCTCCCCATACTTCTGCTGTCATTCTCTTTCATTTTATTTTTTGCCGAGGTGGCTGTTCACGTGTACAACCACGTCAACTGATGTGGGTTTCATTGAGTGAACTGGATTGCTCCACAAGCTAAAATGACCAAATTGGTCCGAACCAAAGAGTACAAGGATCAAATTTAAAGTTTAAGGATCAAATCGAACACCGAGAAAGAGCTTGGGAATCCATTTTGGCATTGCCCCTCTACTTTTCTTACATAGAGTGAAGGAAAGAGAGAGGTCTAGATCATGGGATGAAGAATATCTTTGCGATGAGAAGCATTTTCAACAAAAAAGGCTGGCATGCATGGAATGCGTAGAAAGCAGGCACTCGGCTATTTGGATATCCATGGCATATGCCATCTGAACTCAAAGCCTCTTAATAAACCCTAGAGCCTATAAATACATCTTCAAATGCCCTTCCATTACAAACCAAGAAAAGGGGAGAAAGAAAGAGTCAAAGTCAAAGCTTTTCAATGGCCGATGAACATCGGTGACTACACTAAGCAAATCAGTTTTAGGGTTTCTCTTCTTTGGCAAGACATGTCGATGATGATGATGATGGAGAAGGTGAATGCCTTCCGGCCATTAATGACTTGCCAAAGGAGAGTTGCCCTCTAACTGCTTCTGCTTAACACGACTCAACTCGAAGGGTCTTCAAGCTTTTCGTTTATACATGGTGAGCTTTTGAAATGATGTATAATATGTGCATATATGTCGAGTTTTAGTCTCTGCTTGGCATAAATAAACTATTCTTTATTGATTTATCCGTCATTACCATATATATGGTATTGACGGGATAAATCAACAAATAATAGTGCCCAGGTTGAGAAGAAAACCAAAACCGCATGAAAATATTGACATGATGTCGTCCATTCAGCCACATTTCTTCATTCTCATTGCATTAGTGACCATTATACCCACATGTACGAAATTTTTACTAATTGAATTTTGACATTAGGTTATCATGCTACGTCGCTTGGTTTTTTTTTAATCATTTTCATTTACAACCAACCTGTATCTTTGTGAAGCTATTAGAATGACATCGATGTATGGTGCCTGCATAATAGCCAACTTAGCAATGAACACTTTCAACTCGACATACCAAGAAAATTAGTCGGAAAATTCTGTAGATTTGGCTTAGTGAATTGTGAATCTTTATGAGACGCATGACTTAATCGGGGCTTACTTTTGTGTTCACAAATGGTCTAGTTTACTAATTCAGAGAATTGAACTGTGCAGCCTACACCAAGGTAAGCTTTTCCCCTGCTAAATAATTGATGTACAAGTTGGCAACTATATTCATAGCGTGGAAAAAAAGAAGTTAGCTATGTTTTGCTGTAAATCTCCTAGAGAAAGGGCACTATACTATGAATCGAACCCAATACTACTTCTGATTTTTTGCCATAAAGTATTCAAATGATAACTATCTTGTTCTTTCAAAATGTAATGATCTTTATGCAACATGATTTACTTTGAGTTTAGTGTTGCCTATCGATTTGGCTCCGGCAAAGCAATCCTTCTTTAATGCACGAGACAAGGTGATAAAGATCTGCCCTGTTGGGTATCACTTCGCGACTGGAAAAACTCATCCCTTTGAGCATGTCTGAAGCCTCGTTGGACGTCTACAGGCGTCGTCGCTAAACCTCAAAGTGGTCTCTGGAGACGCCAAAAGAAGTTGTTGGAAAGATGAGATACGCGCTAATGTTTTGCAGCGACACCCGTGACGACCTATCAAGTATCGACCGCATTCAAGGAACATTTTCGGGTTTTTAGGGACGATTTTACCCGTCGCCTATTGTCCTTTTTTAAGTAAATATTAGATAAAAGAGTCATGCTAAAGAGTCCAACGAGAGTCTATCGCATAGACTTCATGAACTAATTTAGTATCTTCCTTTTATCAAAACCATGTAATGCTGCAAGCCTATTACTTATCTTAACCCCATCTTGTATAAAAGCAAAGACTGTAAAGTAGAAACTTATTTTCACATGGCCCTTCCTTTTGAGAGCAAGATGACCACAGATTGCCACAAACTATGAACAAGAAAAATAGAACATTAGCAGAATGTTAAAGATATATATATAGAAAATCCTACGATGTTTAAATAAGTCGGTCGACCGAATTACAATTGTAGCAAGTATTTCTTCTTGGAAAAAATAAATTGCAGATTGTCAGTTTAACACAAGCAACACGATATTTTCTTTTGTTCTTTTTTGGATCACACGGTATTCCGAATTTTCGCTCGAGTAGGCATGGCCCCTCCGATTAACTCTGAACGAGAAACATTGTGATTCAACACCAGGGATTGCTACATTCGAAGTGAGCATTTAACCACTTACCGACCTTTCATAGTGGTATACTTAATGAATATTGTTCGAAAGGGTTTTGATCATAATAGCATCGTTTTAATTTTGACATGGATCGATATATTGCATTTTTTTTTCGCGTAAATAAAAATTGAGGACTATGTTGTTTGGTAATGTGATTAAATGCTCGTGAAGACTTGAAGACCAAAGACTAGAAAGTATGTACCCAATTAATGTGACATTTGGAAGGGGGCAATGGCAATGCACAGGTAGTCAATGAAATTGACCTCGTCATAAATAGGGAAAAACAAGGTAAATATCTAGATGGATCATTCTTTATATACCTATATCTATATGCAAAGGGTACCATACACTGATCTGATATACGCATTACAATACCGGCTTTGCCTCAAAAGAAAAAAAAGATAAGAACGTAAAGTAAAGAAAAAAGAAAATTCACAAAATTTAAAAAATACACTACATAGAACAGCCAACTCTGATTGGGTATCTAGGTAAATATTTCCCGACCAGGAGAACCACATTGACAATTTGGAAAATTTATAATTGAATTGACCCCTGTACAATATGTTTAAAACTTTTTTGGACAATTTTTCTGATTTTGCGAATTGTGATTAGCCATTGCTCAAAGGGACACTTATCACTAAGGCGAAGCCATGTTTGTTCATAATTTCACAAGTTTGTGTATTGTCAAAGATTACAAAAGCTGATAATGAGACGGTTTCACAAGCAAGTAAGCATCCCAGTAAATAATATGAAAAGTAAATTTCAATCGCTTCAAACGAAAGCTGGCCATTTTTTTTTATCTGGTCTTATTCTATCCTATATTTATTTTTACAAGGCATTGTGCGCAGGTTGTGAAACCTTGCTCTCTCACTCACACATCCCCACCCTAACCCTTTTAAGAAGGCGAGGAATCGAACTCCTCACCTCCTCTTCCCAAGTGTGAAGGGTGACCATTAGGGCAACCCCCAGTGGTTGAATAACATGGCCATTACCCATTGTGAATCCCTGTTCAAATTTGATTAGATATCTTTGGTAAGGTTGTCTTTTCGCACAGAAAAAGTCAAATATTTCGCTTTCATACTTTCATACTTTTTAATAATTAAGTCCTTATATTTTTATTTTTTCTAATCAAGTCATTTTACTTACACAAAGTGACTAAATCGAGCCCCATCGGCATTATGTCCGGTTGACATGGACGTGGCCACATTTTGCTCATGTAGACTCTCCCCTAGAAAATTGTACAAGAAAACAAATCATCTTCTTCCGCTCATAATCTCTCTTCCCACCTCCTCTTCCCAAGTGTGAAGGGTGACCATTAGGGCAAGCCCCAAGTGGTTGAATAACATGGCCATTACCCATTGTGATTCCCTGTTCAAATTTGATTAGATATCTCTGGTAAGATTGTCTTTTCACACAGAAAAAGTCAAATATTTCGCTTTCATACTTTCATACTTTTTAATAATTAAGTCCTTATATTTTTATTTTTTCTAATCAAGTCATTTTACTTACACAAAGTGACTAAATCGAGCCCCATCGGCATTATGTCCGATTGACATGGACGTGGCCACATTTTGCTCATGTAGACTCTCCCCTAGAAAATTGTACAAGAAAACAAATCATCTTCTTCCGCTCATAATCTCTCTTTTTCAGCATGGACTTAACTTTTGACCTCCAAAAATATTGTCCGTATCACACTCCAGGGTCGTGCAATGTCCACGTCAGCTTGATTTGACAATTTGTGCAAATAGGACGACCAGGGCATCAATGGCAAGTAGAGGGGCTTTTTTCTCCTTCAAAGTAGAAAATCTTTGTACTTTTTATATAGTAATATAGAGTAGCGCTCATGAGCAGATACGTGTGCCGAAAAAACATCGTAACCTAAGTTTATTTTTCTCGTAACTCTTGTACAAAGTGTCGTGCTACATAAATACCTAAGTTACGAATGCCCTAGGGAACCACAGGTGCATGATTGAGTTTCACATTGATATGAATTCTTGATTATTGAGATGGTGGGGTCATTTTCAAGGAGTTGAAAAAACTTGTGGCCTGCGCAAGAGGGCCGGCCACTTCAAAAGTTCTCTTGCCTTTTTCCGTTTGTTCGGTTCCATCCACCAACTGTTCTTCCCGTGTGGCCCTGATGCGGCCTTTTTTCGAAGGGTTCGTCTTGTTTGGGGAGTACCCACCAGCCACGGCCACCTCGTTTCTCGGTCTGGTGGGCCTCGGGGCGCTTTTGGCTGTTATCTTGGAAACGCAAGACAACATATTTTGCCAACATCAAGGCGGAAAAGGAGGCTGCTTGACAATGCACCGGACGTGGAGGTTTGCGTTCCTCATTTCGCAGAGGTTGCTATTATTGCATGGTCCATTCACGACAATAATAAGACGGGGCTGAGTGATCGTGATTGATCATCTAGTCCCCCGCCTATGCAGATGCATAGCATCCAAAGTGCTCGTCTTCTTGGGGTGTTAAAAAGATGCCCGCGTCCGAAAGTTAACTAATTCGACTCAAAGTCAGCAGAAAAGTCAAGATCAGCCATCAAGAACTAGGGAGAGAAGTAGAGCGAGCAATTATTGGGTGGGCCGGGTGTGTGAGCCATCGGTGCACCTAAAGCTCCGGATGGTGCAAGTTCCATGCGAACCCACTTGAATCAAGGGCTGAGGTGGGTCGGGGGTGCACATGCGCTCGGTGCACCTTGGGAAATTGCTGAGCATCGGGCTGAAAGATTGCCAAGTGGACAAGAACTACAAGCAGCTTGAAAGGCTGCCGTGTTGAAGTGGTGTCATGTGAGCAAGTTGACCTTGACTTGTTCATTAGAAAACACGCAAAAGACAGCCTGTCCAATAAGCAAAGGCCTTCGAACTTGACATTTGGGGACAAATGGAATTGATTACAGAAGCAGATAAGATAAAACGAGGAGGAGGAATGAGAGAAAACCAAAGATGATTTAATGTGGTCGGAACAGCAAGGAGCAGTATGAACTCGCCTTGCCTCAGGGAGGCCTCAGAAGCATGCTTTCTTGGTTGCTCCCCCTTTGCTGGCCTTCCAGGAGCTCCGGCCGAGAAGTCTTTGACCGGCGCCGCCGTGTTCCGGCATGACTTCCTTATTGCCACCACCTCCTCTCTCCACCCAAATTCACAATTCACTAACCACGAGTCCCTTCCTTCATTGCACGAATCGTCTTCTTTGTTTGCAAATGCATTTCCCCAATATGAACAGACGGATAAGGCCGATGAGATCCGAGCCAATGAATATCATCATCTCTCTTCGGCTAACTATGTTTGTCTTGACTACACAGGTCTTGGCCTCTTCTCTTACTCACAGCAGATCGGCCATCTTCCTGCGACTTCGATAGCCTCTTCCTCCTCTCATCCTCCGCCATCGCATTTGTCCTCGCTGGAATCGCCCTTCCTCGTGATTTCATACAAATCAGTGAACTTGAGGTCACAGATACTTCATGGTGTCCAAGAATCGGAAATCGAATCCAGAATCAGGAAAAGAATTATGGCCTTCATGAATGTTTCGGAATCTGATTATGCCATGGTTTTCACTGCTAACCAGTCATCTGCTTTTAAGCTTCTTGCAGAGTCATATTCCTTCCATTCTAATACTAATCTCCTGACAGTGTATGACCATGAAAATGAGGCAGTAGAATTGATGCTAGAGAGCGCGAGGAAGAGGGGTGCACACACCAGATCAGCTGAATTCTCGTATCCGAGGATGAGAATCTGGTCAGAAAAATTGAGGAAGATGATAATTGGTAATAAGAGGAACAGGAGAAGAAGAGGGCTATTCGTTTTCCCGCTCCAATCAAGAATCACCGGGGCTCAATATTCATACTCATGGATGGGAATGGCACAGGAAAGAGGTTGGCATGTTCTGCTCGATGCATCTGCTTTGAGACCTAAGGACATGGACACTTTTGGCCTATCTATCTTCAAGCCCGACTTCCTCATTTGCTCGTTCTACAAGGTTTTCGGGGACAACCCATCTGGTTTCGCTTGCTTGTTCGTCAAGAAATCGAGTGCTTCGATCCTACGGGATTCGGATGCAGCTAGAAGTATAGGGATTGTGAGTCTCTCCCCCATCACAACATCTTTTCGTCATTTTCAGGAATCTGCTCAAGAAGGCATCAGTCAGAGACCAAGTTCAGCATTATTTCAGTTGCAAAAAAATGATATTATATCTGGAATGGCGCCTAAAGAAATGCATTACGGATCTCCCGAGTTGCATTCATCTGAAGTGGACAATGTAACACCAGAGGCAGTGTCATCTACTGAGATTAAAGTAGTGTCATCTACTGAGATTGAAGAAGTAGAGACACCCTTTGATTCCGTCAGATCAAGAATTACAGAGACCAGCTTTGATGGGAGGTTGGAGATCGAGTTTCGAGGCCTTGATCATGCAGATAGATTGGGCATAATACTTATAAATTGCAGAGCAAGGTACCTGATCAACTGGCTTGTGAATGCGTTGCTGAGCCTGAAACATCCGGATTCAGACACCGAGCTACTTCCCCTGGTCATGATTTATGGGCCAAAGGTCAAATTCGAACGAGGACCGGCGGTCGCGTTCAATGTGTTCGACTGGAAAGGGGAGAAGATCAATCCTGTGCTCGTGCAAAAACTCGCCGATAGAAATAACATTTCCCTCACTTGTGGATTTCTGCAACATATATGGTTTGCGGACAAGGATAAGGAGTGGGAGAGGACGTTGGAGACCAGAACAAGTGTGGCGAAAGGGACGGAATCAAGAAGGAAGAGGGACGACCGCCGCGGTATATCGGTCGTCACGGCTTCACTCGGTTTCTTGACCAATTTCGAGGATGTGTATAGGCTGTGGGCATTCGTTTCGAGGTTCTTGGACGCGGATTTCGTCGAGAAAGAGAGGTGGAGATACACGGCCCTGAACCAACAGACGGTCGAAGTGTGAAATCAGAGTTCTGTCCGAATCTTCTCCAACTCTTGGAAACATTTTTTGTTCTTCATTCTTCCATTCTTTGATTCATCATTCCTCCTGAGCATATGCTTTGTAGGCAGCCAGGTCTGATTTGTTGATCTATAAACTTGTACTTTGAAGAACTTTTCTGTCATAACATATAAATTAATCCGCCAATATGTTACATTAATTTTCCTATTTTAGAAATTTATTACCGTCATTGTAAGAGTTGATGAACACATTCACTGTTTTCTTTTTGTCAGTAAAAGCCATGTCAGGTTCACGAAATGAATATGGGTGGATCATTCTAAATTTAGTCAGGTTCACTGATATTGCTACTCGAAATTTCGATTCTCTGCTTAATTCCAATTTCCAACTAACCCTTAGGAAACAGTGTTCGAATTACACCATATGAGTTGTATAACACATTGATCGAATCCATTAAAGGAATTACGCGACACCATCGATTCAAATTCTTATGGCAGATTGCTATTAGCTGAGAGTTACGGATGAAATTTAGCAACTCCAAGCCAAATTTTGCAGCGGGGGGCTGATCGGCCAATTTAAAGGGTGTCCAAGCCCATACAAAGTCGGGTCCAAAGAAACAAAAAAGCAAAGACATAAACAAGCACTCTCCCAAAAGACAAAGGGATGTGCTTGACAATCATTACATCTCATTTTAAGGCAAAGAATTGTAAGAGTGAATTTCCATCTTCTTCATCATCCTCTAACTTTAGAATTATTATTTTCTCGACCTCGCTTTTCCAATATATATATATATGTTCTATTTGTGATTCAACTTTAATCTCGATCCCCGACATATATGTTAACAAGAAAGGACGAATTTGATCGACAATGTATTTGATTAAAATCGCGAGGAGTAATCGGTATAGACTTTTGAGAAAAAGTAAATATCAAGTTTTTTTTTTAAATTTCCAAATAATATTTTTGTTCGTTGATATGAATTGTTGTTTTCCTATGCTACCTCCCACCAAGCAAAAATTAAATTGTTTGGTTCGTGTGCATAAAAAATCATTGATCTAAAAGGTGGCGCTTGTGGCCTCAAAGTCGAAGTTACTTTAAACTAGTTCCTTAGCCATCACTTTGCGCAGGCACGTCTATTTGCATATTTTTGTATATTTACTAAGCCAATTAAATAAGGTGTAATTGTAAGATAAAAGATGCTATTTATTTAATTATCATATATATTTTTCTAGAAGAATATCATGCCTTATGGAGGTCTAAGACTAACGTGTGGCAAAAAAGACGTAAACACCCAGGACACAAAATAGAGAAAAAAAAAAGTGATCTCTAGCATCCAATGATGGAAGCTATTGTTGAAATCAGTCTATTCAAAAAAGTAGAAAATAGATTTTAAAAAATAAAATTGCTCTATGTTTTAAATAAGTTGTAATTAATCTTATTTTAATTTAACGTATTTGATTGTAAGTTTGAATTTTTTTTTTGTAATAGAAAAGGAACGATGAGTTATTTATTCCATTAAATTATTTCATAGTCAAAAGAAACAAATTGAATAAATTGTGTTATAACGAATGAAATTACTCAACAAAAAAAATGAATGAAATTACACGAACGAAATGAGTTATGCTTTAATCAGCCATGGTATATTTACAAATAACATGTACCTTTAAAGTGGAGCTTATTCAGTTAATGCTATTACTTAACTATAAATAAATGAACTTTTAAATTTCACTTTGATAAACATACGTTGCACGTTTTTCATAAAGTGAAATTTATTTGTGTAACAAGATAATATATACTAAAAATAAAAAAAATAAAAAAATTTAAGCTGAATGAATTTTTAAGTAAGTGAGATTTATTATGTAACCTACATTTGCTATACTTGTAATATTGTTGCAAGACCATATGATCTGGTAATTGGGAAACATGGCGTCAATTTTTCGGCTGTGTGACAAAAGCGAAGGTCTAGTCGTGGTCACGATATGCCGTTGGATACCAATTTGTCAAATCTTCGAAATAAATTAACTTCAGGGCACTATTCTAAGTTTCTTTTAGAGGAGAGTCTATGGAAACTTACAAGGTTCGATGACTAATTCTTAAAGCAATCAATTCACACAAAACCCAAAAGTCAAAGTGACAGAAAAACATCCTCGTTGCTTAGAAACATTCGAAAGGTATGTTGTACTTTAGCATGTTCAAAAAGATTGACATCTTCTCAACTTACATGATAAGTTGCGGAATATCGTACGTTAGTATAGCCTCTGCAGCCGTTGAAACATCTCCCTTATACAGTCATCGGTCCTAAATCATGTTAGGTCGTCGACCTCATAGCAAAGGTGGTCGATAACAACTTAACCTGAGAGAGAGAGAAAGCATTCTGAATTTAAATCTTTCTAGATCTCATTTGCCTTTTCAATTAAATATGTCCACTAACACTAAATAAAAAGATTAGACTAAGCGTGAGGTGGACTAATAGAATATTTAAATATTAAACTACGCATTGATCCAATAACTTTAGCTTTTAAAATAATTAATAATGATCCTATAAAATCTCATCGGTATGATACTCTCAAGCAGATCATCAAAGATGTCCATATACCTACAACATGAGATGAATTCAATCGTATTTGTTACTCGATTATTGATCGATAGACACCCACGTGGGTTTTTTTTTTTTTTTGAAACATCCACATTGGGTTAAACGATACACATCGAATTTCTTTTTCTTACATCAATCGGGGTTTGAATCACTTGTCTTGTCGCTCATTTATGTGAATCTGTAAAACTAACTATGATGGTGTGTTAGGTGATGCTCCACGCGTGAGCATCTTTGAATCGTAATTGCTTAATCTCGTGTCGTTAAACACATACCTCAAAGGCACAGTGGTAATGTCTTCTGATGTTGTAAAAAAAAAAACTCTATATTTATAACATTAGAAATGACAAGCGAATATTCAATCTCATGTATGGTAAAAAGATTGGTATAGCCAATTAGTTATGTCTCATTTTATAGTTTATTATCTATTTATATGTTCATTAGGTTAGATACATGAAATGTGAGCGGAAAGTCAAAAGCATTGTGCTTATGTATATTCCTCGGATAATTTTTTACATATATATATATACACACACTATATTTATTTAATATTTCTTGTTATGACCGTAGTCTAGTCTAGTGTGCGTAATTTTCTAGGTGTCTGTTTTTTTTTGCTAAAATTTTTTCTAGGTGTCTTTTATTGACTAAACGAATGCCCCCACCAACCACTATTGTTGCCGCAGTCGAAATTGGTCGTCTAGCAATTAAAATAGTATTACAAGATATTCATTCTTATGAAAGAGTTTGGTGCTCCGTGGATCAAATGTCTTAGCCTCTTAGGCGGCGCATCGGTTAGGAAGTAAAGTCCGATCGGACGATGTTGGGCAATTGATTTGTTAAATTCGACGCCGATCGAATTGCGCAAAGAGAGTTGGTTGGCCCGCTGTTCATTATGCAATTTGATCTTCCTCTCTGACCGTCTTTGAATTGCGCGCTGCTCTAGGGATGACGAGAAACCGATCCCATACATTAGCGACGGTTATTCCCCGATCGATGAATATTTCTTAGCAATGGTCTTTAATTTCTACGCACGGTTCGAGTCAATCGATCATCACCACGTGTCATGCGCTTCGCCGGAAAGCTGCCCACCGGAAACTCATCGTCGGTGAGCACATGACGCTCGACTTACATGATCGACGGGCTTATCAGACATCCCATCATCGATGGACCTTATGGATCGCGTGTATTACGTGCATCGTCACATCTGGCAAATTCTCACAAAGTCTCTCTCTGCAATGGCATGTCGATGCGTATAAATATGCCAGAGCGCCTACGTTCCAGCCCTCATCTGTCACTTGCTCTCTCTCTCTACGACTTCCCTGGTTTCTCTCTCCTCCCCTGTACAGGAGTTACGTTCGAGGTCGGAGGAGGAGAAGAGCGAGGTTTCATCGTCCTCTGTTTCCTGTGTCTCCTCATTCTCCGCTGCGAGCTTCTTCGCGTCTCGAGCGATAGTTTCTTGTTCGTTCGAGGCGCGGAAATGGCGAAGAACGTGGGGATTCTCGCCATGGAGGTCTACTTCCCTCCTACTTGCGTGCAGCAGGTGCGTTTCCTCCCGCTCCGCTCTGTCCCCGTCGTGGCGGTATCGTTCTCAATGCACGAGAGAAAACGGAGGAAAAGATCTTTCGGAATCTGAGTGTGGCTCTGAACCCGAGCGCTAAGTTCGTCACGCGATGGAAAAATTGCCTGTAGTATATGGTGATCCAAGTGGCTGGCTTTGACGAGCGTTGATCCCATGGCATTCGGTGATGGAGCCCGCAGAGTCGCTTGGACGATGGATTCAATACTTTGCTGATGGAGTCGGCATCTGCATTTCATTTACTTCCGTAATTGCTATGACGAATCTCCTCATCCGAAATAAATATCCGCTTGGACTGACTCGTGATGCTGTGGGAGCTTCCCGGTGGCGCCGTGTCGGTTGCTCTTCGACGACGATCCTTTCTTTTGAATGGATTTGAGGCTGATCGTTGTGAATTTACGCAGCTCTACGTCCATAACAACATCTGCCATCGCATCTGAATTATTAACCCAGTTTCTCATTTCTGCGTGGATAGGAAGCCCTGGAGGCTCATGATGGAGTAAGCAAAGGGAAGTACACTATTGGGCTAGGACAGGACTGCCTGGCCTTTTGTACGGAGGTTGAAGACGTCATCTCGATGAGGTCTGCCTCACCATGATTTCGGGCTATCTGTGAAATAATCACAGCCCTTTCGCCTCTCATATGGCATGTTAAGTTTGCCACTCATTTGCCTATGCGGACATGACAATTTACTTAAATATTGATTATTCAGTTTAACAGCCGTGACTTCCCTTTTGGAGAAATATGGAATTGATCCAAAACAAATCGGTCGTCTGGAGGTAGGCAGTGAGACTGTCATTGACAAGAGCAAGTCCATCAAAACCTTCCTCATGCCAATCTTTGAGGTATACTCCCACATATTTTGGAGTCTAGTAATTGTTGTGGCAAGTGGTGCATTAGTGTTGTTGCCAAGAAAATGACGCATATTTCTGGGGGACTTTTTTTGGGCTATTCTACCGAATTGCCTCAAGAGAAATGATTGCTTTGGTTAATTTTTGTGTGTAAAACGAACAGGCAAGTGGAAATACTGATGTTGAAGGCGTTGATTCAACTAATGCATGCTATGGGGGAACTGCAGCTTTGTTCAACTGTGTCAACTGGGTGGAGAGTAGTTCATGGGATGGACGCTATGGACTTGTTGTATGCACTGATAGTGCGGTATGGATTCTTATTAGTATTTCACTGTTACCTCAAGTTATCTCTAATTCCTTGGCCAAAGCGCATACATATATCTGTCTATGTTCATAGCTACTCATGCCGAATGGATGTTTTTGTAAATCCATTCCCCATATAATTTGTCAATTTGCTTTTTTTACTTCTATTTGTGGTTGACAAAGGTGAGGAATATCAGTTTGAAAGCGCCTTTTCGGCTGCACTCAGATGGTCTTTAATAGTGTCTTAGATCGTATCATGTACAGTTTGTATGCTGGAGTAACCATCGTGTTGATTTATTGCGAGAGATTTCCTTTATCAGGTGTATGCTGAAGGACCGGCTCGTCCTACAGGAGGAGCAGCTGCCATTGCAATGCTCATAGGTCCTGATGCACCGGTCGTTTTTGAAAGCAAATTTAGGGGGAGTCACATGTCTCATGCCTATGACTTTTACAAGCCTAATCTTGCAAGTGAATATCCGGTAACTGTCCTTGTACGTTACATTCTTAATTGGTCAAATGATTTCTCCCTGGGTTCAATACTTGTCTTAGATTCTTTTCTGCATCTAAATGTGCGGCTGTATATAAGCTCTTTACAGCAAGTATTGCAGATAATTGCTAAATGTATAGTCGATAGAAGTCTCCAAGAGTATTGCAACAAATTGAATGAAGGGATTGTCTTTTGGTGCTATTTCTGCCACATTCAGCTTGATAAATTCGAACTTTCTGAAGATGGTAAAATGCACCCTGAAAGTTTTCTAGAATTTGAACAGTTACAAAGAACAGAGAATATATAAGGATTCGTTTTGACTTTAGCTTCTTATGGAATAAAATTTTGGGCATTAGCGAAGTCCTCTAGCGAAAATGGTCAAATAATATACATATTGTAGTATGAGGAAGAGTGATTTGTTATTCAAAGGGATCTGTGATGACAATAAATCTGTCAAAAAGATTTTGGGTTGAGAAAGCGAAATATGAAGAAAAAATTTTCTTTATCAAGAGGGACAGTAGAGTCTGTTAGTGCAATTGCGAAAAAATTCGAAGTATTCTGTTTCACCAAGACCAAAAATTAGTTCAATAGATTAGTCGAAAACATCCTAAAAAACAGTTGAGATAATGCTTGTGATGCTAGTGGGTTTTCAGCAATCAAGCCCTTATGACATGTATAATTCAGCAGAGCAAGATGTCATACCTAGTGTTATCAGAAACCTTCGTCAAGCAAGTATGTTTACGTCAAACCAAGTACCTCAAAGTCATGGTGGACCTAGCTTGATGAAGTTGAATGCTGCTCTCTTAATGTAAACCTGATAGCTATTTGGTTGCTGACAACAAAAATAAATGCACTTGGCTTTTTTCACTACATAGTATGTGGTATAGACTAGATGGTTCCTTCTACAATATTGCGCTCCGATTAGTCCTGATTTCTCTGTGATATCTATTTGCTTACCCTGTTTCTTGAACGTATTCTAGGTTGTTGATGGGAAACTATCACAAACATGCTATTTGATGGCTCTTGACTCCTGCTATAAACATTTTTGTCACAAGTAAGTTGCTATCAATATGCTAGATGCCTTTTACTCCCTATTATGTTTAAGAATCTTACATGCTTTCTACATTCTTGCACTTTGGTTTTCCATAGATACGAGAAGTTAGAAGCAAAGCAATTCTCAATATCTGATGCCGCCTATTTCGTTTTCCACTCTCCTTATAACAAGGTGCCATTTTCGCCTCATCTCAACTCTCAAGCAACTGCTTATTTCAGTATTCTTCAACTTCACTAAATCTAAAACATACTACCAACTGCAGCTTGTACAGAAAAGCTTTGCTCGTTTAGTATTCAATGACTACTTGAGGAATGCCAGGTTTTATGTTCTTCCTGCTTTACAGCTTTAAAAACTTCTGTAACATATATACTTTGACTCGATGATTGATTTTACTTCCATTTGACGGGCAGCTCTGTTGATGAACTTTCCAAAGAAAAGCTGGCTCCTTTTTCAAGCTTATCTGGTGATGAAAGCTATTCAAGCCGTGATCTTGAGAAGGTCATTCCAAAGCCGACATCCAAATACAATAAAAGGATGAAACTTGTGGCTCATAGTGTTGTTTTCCCCCCTCATTTTAGGTATCCCAACAAGTTGCAAAGCCCTTGTATGATGAAAAAGTGCAACCAACCACTTTGATACCAAAACAAGTTGGCAACATGTACACTGCATCTCTCTATGCCGCATTTGCTTCTCTTATTCACAACAAGCATGCCACACTGGTATAAGTTTTTGGACATATTTTACGGAATGGTTCTTGCACCTACCATCTGGATCTTGCATCTCAAGTTTATGTTCTTCAATTTCTGTAGGGAGGCAAACGCATCATATTGTTCTCATATGGAAGTGGTTTAACTGCTACAATGTTCTCATTGCGACTTCGTGATGGCCAAAATCCCTTCAGCCTCTCTAAGATGGCATCTGTTATGGATGTCGAGAAGAAGTTGAAGTCAAGGCATGAGGTACTTCTCATACTCCACTAATATGCATAATTTTTAATGGTAGAAATCTCATGCTACTTCAAAGTGCTTGAACCCAGTATTTGGAAGTATATATATGCGGCAGCAGTTAAGACGTCTCTGTAAATGTCCGCCTGTGATCACCTAACGCTTTTGTAAATTTCAGCTTGCTCGACTGTATTGCTTCTGTGTCAACTGCTACGTGTCCAGTGGTATTAGTATTCAATTTACTAAAGTCTGAGGACAAGAAAATCTAATCATCTTGCGATGAGAAAAAGTGGAGCGAACTGTCACCTTACCATTGATTAGGTGGATGATGGACTAATGATGAAACGTGCTTTCTTACAGTTCCCTCCTGAAAAATTTGTCGAGAACTTGAAGCTTATGGAGCATAGATATGGGGCTAAGGACTTCACGACAAGCAAGGACTGTACTCTCCTATCTCCCGGTACATACTATCTCACTGAAGTCGACTCCATGTACAGGAGATTCTACGCCAAGAAAACCAAGGACGGTAGTTGCGAGAAAAGTTTGGCTGGTCACTGAAATGAATAAGATAATTCCTGTAGAAGCACAAATTTGGATTTTCGCTTTTTCGAGTTTGGCAGTTTCGGGAAGCAACACTATCTTCCCTGTTTCTGTAACACCATTTAGCCAGCTCGTGTTCTGCGCAGTAGTATGTCCAGATATTTTTCTCTGTTTAATTTAATGGTTATTGCTGGAAGTATTCTGATGAGTATCTGTCAATGTTTTTACTCGTCTCCAACGTAGAGTTCTTCATTCACTTACTCAAAGAGAGTTTGATTGTATTATTGGAGCCATTTCCTTTGGGAATTGAAGCTGGGAAGGTCTGGTTTGTGTGAACTATTACTGGTTAGAGTGCAGCAAATTCTTTCCATATTGCTGTCTAATTGCTCTTAAAATGTCATTTGTGCAACTTCCATTCTCTCTATTGTCAGTCCCTGAGACGAGAAATCTCTCTCTCTCTCTCTCTCTCTCTCTCTCTCTCTCTCTCTCTCTCTCTCTCTCTAGTTCACTCAAGAAAAAAAGTCCTCTTGGTGGGTCAAGTAATAGAACTCGCGCGCTCTGTAGAGTATTTCGACGTCTGTACCACCCCCAACGTCACTATCCTGGTCGTGGCATGCATCGTTAGGGCATGCCAAATTTACTAGCGAACGCTTTGAAGTCCAAAAAGGGGACCGCCAAAGATGGTTTCACATCAGGGAGCTTATCTTCTGTGAAAGTGTTGCATCTTCCAACCTTAGTGGCCAAGCGTCACCAGACATGTTTATTGACTGAAAATTTGGTGTGCTTAGTTGATGGATATCATTTTCACTCGCGATAATGCAGCATTAGCTCATTTTAACGCCATTCCAATCGGTTTGTCTTATGTTGCTGCTCTTTATGGTATGTGTAAAGTAAAAGACGATTGGCTCTCTCGAGTCTTCTGTCTCCATTGGGAAAGCTGTTCCCACGAGGGCCTAAAGTCGCTATGCTCAGATAGACCATTCACGACCATCTCTTTGTATTAACAAGAATCATAGATTTTTGCAGTGAACGAGGGCATTTTATCACACTAATCCGGAAACATCTCCTCAGACACCATTCTAGGACTTGGATTTAGGTTGAGACTCGAGCGACATTGATTACAACACACTATCAATCATATGCTTCCATTTGCACAGAGTTTATCAGATACTAACATACCCCTGTATGCCTACATAGTACATCATAGTACATTGATACTTCAAGTCATATTATATGAGACAGAAAGAGATTAAAACAATTGGGCTGGTTTCTTCTGGGGCAACTCGGGAAGTGCCTTAATATTCAGAAGTTGCACCACGTCTTCCATGGAAACCCTGCAATTCGCTTCATTCAAAGTGCTGACCAGACCAATGTCCAAGGCGCGAAGAGCTTGTTCCCTGACTCCTCCCAACCCCATCCGCTCGTCCACGTCTTAGTCCTTCTCTCCTCTCTCGTACATGCTCCATGCAAATTCCAAAACTCCTGTCTCCTCTTTCTCACCCACGCTCACACTTCTCTTCCTGGCAACGATCTCTAGTACCAGCATCCCGAACCTGAACACATCCTTTCTCTTACCGATGAATCCATTCTCGCCTCTGTTTGACTTGGCCACGACGGTAAGTAATGCATAATCCGCCAGAACGGCTCCATAGCTAATGTTGAGAAACACGCTGCTTGTCCTCAAATTTCCATGAATGGTGCCCTTAGAATGGAGAAAACTTAATGCTTTTGCTATATCTTCAATGAGATTGAACATGCGAGTCCAGGGAAGGACACCGAGTCTGAAAAGCCATTTGTCGAGGCTCCCATTCTGGAAATAATCATAGATGACGATCATCTCCTTACTGTTGTAACACCGCCCTTTGATAGGAGCCAGATTAGGATGGCAAAATTGGTTCAAGCCATTAATTCTTTTCATTATTCGGGCGTGAATGCTCGATGCAATGGTCTGACTCTCCAAGTGCTGCGAGAACCACTTAACTGCAATATGACGGCCATTGGGAAGAGTTCCTCTATATAGGACGCCTTTCGGGTCGCTGTTTAGCACTTCTGATTTGCTGAATTTGAGTGTAGCTCTGCAAATTTCAAGGATCGTGAAGGGGTGAGGCTTGCTAGGTGGTGTCGGCCTCCGCTTGATACTGGGAAAACTATAAGAAGGTGAGCTCTTTTGGGGGTTGCTTTTGGAATAGAGGACTACAAGAGCTAGTGTGCATAGCCCAACCACAGGGACAAAATCAGAAAGCTGCTCGGTGCCCTTGAGTTAGGGACTTTAGAGTACTTGGAAACTTGGTGGATGAGGTTTCTTTTGCAAGTTCTTTCGCTGGGAACTTGAGGAAAGGCTTCGATTGCAGAAGAGAAGTTCCATGATAGAACACTGTGGATTTGTGTTGATTTGGCTGTGGAGGCCGAGAATCCAACAAACATAAATTCGTTGAGAAAACCCGAGAGATCCAGAGGCAATGATAATACGGTTAGGTTCGGCACGTGACCATTGTCAGCTCCAAGATAAACATCAATCCATTTCCGACAACTGTCATAATTGATCCATGCTCGATGAACAGAACCATCATGGAGGGAAACTGTGGTTTCTGATAGATCGGCCGTTTTCATGGAAACAATGGTTCCAAGGTTGATTCCGACATGATCATCGTTAGGATCGCCAAACTCTGTGTCATGACTCTTATCGAACTCGATTGCAAAAATCTTGTAGTGGTCGCATGCGTCATTAAGTAAGCCGAGCCAGGGTCCGGCTCTCCCGCCTTGATCACGGCTTAAGGATGACTCATCAGTAGCATTGGATGTGAACATGGAGGCTCTGAACTGAAAGGAGAAAGTGGTTTTGAAGGAAGCCAGGGTCTTGGTTACAGGTTCAAACATACGAATGGGACAGTTATAAACGGCTCTACCTGCTTGATAACTACGATTAGTGGCTGGTGATGGGTCAGGAATTTGGATAATACCGTTGTCATCTGACATTGTTGCACTCCCCAGGAGCTTGATGTCGGGAGTACTACTTGGGTTTAATCTAGGATGGAATCTAGAGAAGCAGAGGTCCTTCCTTACAGTTACTGATGTTCCAAAATGGTGGTGATTGTGGTGGATTTTGTGTGCTGCAAGTTGGGTGTTCATTGAGAGAAGGAAATACAAGGTTGCGAATATCGCTGAAGACACAGAAAATGAGCACCAATCCATCTAGTGAGGCTACTAATTAAGGGGTAGGTGATTGCTTATATATCAGTGCATTTTGCTGGCTATTAAAAAAAAAGACAAATTGATCAAGAACAGTAATTATATGATAATATAAGATAACTTTATATTGGTCATTAAACACTTAGCCCATGCAACCATTAGCAACTAAAAGTAGAAACCATGCTGTCAAAACTCAAAACAGTGCTTAAAGTGTTGAACTTCTTATACATCCATTATTGTATGAACCACTCAGTACTATCATATAGAAAATCTTGGGAATCTCAAGTTTCAACTCCTTAAGAAATGCCTTACAAAGGTCCCTATGGACATTATCTTCTGCATAGCGACCAAAAAAAAATCATTATCTTCCGCATGTACATTTCACTCGTCGATTGGTTGAGAAAAGAGCGGGTTGCAGAGAAAACTAGAAGGATGATATTTCATGCTAAGTTATTGCCACAGGAGAGGAATGTTGGCAATCTTAGTGCAAGAGCCTCACTGATTATGCAAGAGTTGGCTGAGACTCCCAAGTTGTAGCTTTTAAAGCATAGACAGGTACAGGAGAGCCAAAATGGCTCTGGCGGCTGACCTAACTCCCTAAGAAGCGAGATTATTTTAATTAAAAATGGGTTTTGAGACCTTCAAGCAAGTAACCTTCCATGTTTCATTGTATGCTGTACTGTGACAAAGTAGAACAATTTAAGCTCGTCACTCTTTCGTGTGAAGAATTAATCACAGAGAACTGGCAAGGGATTGTAGTTTCTCATCGACCCTTGTATAATGGCATGACAAAAGCAATGTTGAGTATGCAATTCCATATTGAGGTATAGCCAATTACAATTCAGAGAACTTGTGTTCCATGATTTGGTTCGTATGGCTTCCTAATGCAGGTTCAACATGCTTTCTCGTCTGCAAATAATCAAGTCTATTGGATGGAGCCCTGCAATAACTTCTCTGTGATCAGTGTAAAGAAAATTTGAAAAGCCGGATAACTACTAATAAGAGCAGTTCCTTGGATCATTTGAGCAGGTTCCTAAAATGGAACAGACACCATTGGATATGCTTCACTGTCATGGATGTCTTTCTATCTGCAAGAAAGCCTTATCGTTTGTTACAATATGAAAATGGAATAGTTTGCCTACTTATATCAGTGATGTCAGCTCCAAGAGATCATTCTCAGTAGACAGCAAGTTGCCTAATGAAGCATTAACGAAGCTGGATTTTACTTTTTGCGGGATATTTAACTCCCGTTAGCCGCTTTCATTCTTAATTTGCATTTTCTATAACATGATTTGTGAACGATTGGTTCTTGGCTGGTTATATGATTTCTATCCGTGGGTAACTCTCTTTTGGTACTCTTAGGGCCCGTTTGGTAACGTGTCAAACAGTGAAAATTTTTATTCTTTTATTCCCAGAAATAGTTTGGGAACAGAAATGCGTTTGGTAAACTTTTTGTTTCCGGGCACATTTTTGCAAAAATTTGTGCCCAGAAACAGTTTTGGAAGAGAAACAAGAAGTAAAAAAAAGTTGCTTCTTGTTTCTTGGCAAAATTTTGAGAATGAGTTATTTTTCTTCTTTTTCTTTTTTTTCTTTTCTTCTTTGTGTTGTTCTTCCCTGGGAGTTTGGCCGGTCGTGGCGGCCGGCGGCCAGCCGGCGACGGACCACGGCCCGGGCCGACGAGGGCGTCACGGCCCTCGCCGGCGAGGGTGAGGGTGGACCCTCGCCGTCGCGGCGACGGCGAGGTCGGCTTCACCGTAGGTCGCGAAGGCGAGGCTCGGCTCGCGCGATCCGGGCGAGGCCGACCTCACCGTCGCGACCCACGGTGGGTCGGCCTCGCCCAGACGGCGAGGCCGAGCCTCGCCGTCGCGACCCACGGCGAGGCTCGGCCTCGCTTGATTTGGGCGAGGCCGGCAGTGAGGCAGGCGGCGAGGGCAGCGACGCCCTGGCCTGTGGCCAGTCGCCGGTGCCGGCGACCGGCCATGGCCAAAGAAGGGAAGGGTAGAAAGAAAAAAAATATTAAAATATTATTAATAAAACAAAAATTTGTATAGTTATCAAACGTGAATAGTAATTTTGGACAGTTACCAAACGTCTTCAAATGCTCAGAAATTGTTTTCTGGCACAGAATCAAAAAGAATCATTTCTGAGTAGAAATAGTTCCCGGCATAGAATGATTGTCATGCGCACCCTGTGCAGTTTACTTTTTGTATATGATTCTGATTGATCTTCCTTTCTCCCAATCTTCTTGTCTTCATTTGACGTTCCAAAGGGTTTCCCTATTTACACTAGAATGATGGAGCACTAACTTTTAAAAAGCGTTTTTATCTTGCACGAAAATGGAAAAAAGGCGCACTAAAATTTGTGTTTCAGGGTGTCGGAAGGGACCAGAAGTTGGTGGACAACAAGAATTAACAATTTCGATCGCATATCTCAAGTCTCCGTCACTTCTGTTTTCGTACAATCAATTCACCCCATATTGTGCTTCACACCTCATCTTCACAATACTTCAACTCCGGAGGTGCCGAAGAAATACTGGTTCATCTGGTTTTTCCTAATTGACTATACTGAGAGAGGTTTAAAGACATTGTTAGAACTAGCAAAGCTAGAAGAAACAGGAGGGTACTTTTGTTATGAGGCTGCTATGACAAACACTCAGAAGTTTTCTTTCATACAGAGCAGAAAACAGATTATAGGTTCTGATTAGCCAGGACAAGAGTAACTAGGTAATCTTTGAACTGCTTAGTTTCTGATCTAGAATTGACTGAGATGTCAGGCCATGGAAAACGATAGAAAAAACAGTCATTCCAATTCAAACTTGTGGTTAAAAGAAATTCTGCTAACTTTGGGAGATAAACATACTCTGTTTTAAGTATTAGCAATTGGTATGACCAGGGGAGGCTATCTAACCTCAGCCCAGAGTTCATATCGCACACAAGATTCACAGGGCCTGTCTAGCGACTTCAGGATCAATATGCAGCTTAAGTACCCCCGCCTTTATCATTTTGTTCTCCTATGAGGGAAACAGGAGATTTTGCTGTGATACAACTATTTATAGACGGCGAGAGTGGTCATCTAAGTCGAAAACTTCATTTTGGCCATAGCCTAGTCACTAGTGGCAGTTGCAATGGGGCTTCCTTCCCTTGGAGCTGGACAAGTTGCATAAAAAAAGACAAAAAGAATATATACAGAGCAGATCTAATCCACAAGAAGAAAAGACATATATGGAGAGCATACTATCAATGACATTAGCTGTTTGAGATAACCTGAGTGTGATGTTTCAAAGATGATCTTTGGTTTGCAATGAATAGCAGCTGCAATTTTGGGTAATGAAATCCTCTTCGTTTCATAAGAAAAAGGTCAAAAAAAACCCACAAGAAAGTCCTCGAATCCCCCAATTGTCGATGGCGCGAGCTTCACCAATCATTTAGCAGACCGAGACATGCTGAGTACCCAAGTTCTGTAGAACCACCAAAGAGCACAGGGTCCAAATCTGCTTTAACCCCTCAATGTTGGAGCCCAAAGCCTAGGACCTTCAAAATAGGTGTACTTTCTTCATTCTCTAATGTGGCACCATATACATTCGTCCATTTGATGTTACTCGATGATTGTCCCCAATCCTCAAGAAAGACCATCTGGGTGCTCTTTAAGGTGGGCAAAATTCGATGAACGAATGCGGCAGGAAATACTTTTGTGCTCTGGTTCGAGAGAGAGAGAGAGAGAGAGAGAGAGAGAGCATGAGAAAGACGGCAACAGCTTAAAAGAAGAGTCTTTTTTGGCAACAGCGATTGGTCAAGAAGGCCTACTACCCTCTTCACCGCAAGAATCTGCCCATAATAGTTTTATCTGCTCTTTTTCCCTCTCCTCTTTCACAATTAACCCTGATCGTCTCTTTGTCCCTCGCCTCTCGCGCACGCCTCCAGCCTCGCTCGACGCCGGCCGACGGTAATCGTTTCCGACGGCAAGTGGGCGGCGCCGAGAACCCTCTCGTACCCGCAGGCAAGTCTCCTCCTTCTCCGCCTCATTTCTTGCGAATAGTTTGTTCACAGTACATGAATTGCAAGAGAGCTTGTCGATTTGGGGACATCTTTTCTCTTCTTGAAATCGGCGAGCGGTTCCGTTGGACCGCCCGGGAACCGAACCGAACCGGACCGGACCGGGAACCGATCACGCCTAGGCGGAAAATGTCGTCTTTCACGGTAGTAAGGAATGAAAGAATCCTCTTCAAAAACGGTTAAAGATAACCTTGGCGAAGAAACCTTAAATTTCAGGACTTTTCGAGCGTGAGTGCTTGCCGGGGAAAGTTCGAGCTCGTTGGGAAGTCTCTGTGCGTGTCTGATTCAACAATTTGGCTGAAAGTAAAGAAGAATTTCGGAGCTAGTTCATACCAGTGGCTATGGCGAAACAAGCAAATACCCTCTTTCTTGAGGACTGGTTGAGAAGCAACAGCGGCGGCGGCAGTATCGGCAACACCGGAAACGCTGCTTCCCCATCATCTGCTCGAGCAATAATCCAAGCATGGGCTGAGCTCAGAGATTGTCTTCAGCACCAGTCTTTTCAACCCCACCACCTCCAATCGCTGAAGACTTTCCTCAACTCCCAAGCCTCCCTCCATGTTGCAGACCCTCAAGCCAAGCTTTTGATCTCCATCCTCTCTTCTCCGGACTTCTGTCCTCCTCGGGAATCGCATCCCATGTTTCTCAGGCTCCTCTATGTCTGGGTAAGGAAGTCCTTCAGACCCAATCCCGCGCTTGTTGATTCTGCTGTGGAGGTTGTGTGTGGAATTGTTGTTTCGGCTAGGTTCGATTCCGACTGGGGTCGTTTGGTGTTCGCTGAGGGTGTTCTTGTTCTGGGTGCATTCTCTGCTGTGCCTGCTGCCTCCGATGCCTCAAAAGTTCTGTGCTTGGAGTCTATTTGCAGGCTGTTGGAACAATGTGGTGCATTGATGAGGTTGTCTGAAGGAGTCATAGCGAACGTCCTTGCAGGAATTGGATATGCTCTATCTTGTCCTGTCAATGTTCATTACGATAAATTTGTGAGCTTTTCGTTGGGCGTTTGGGGGAGCGAGGATGGACCTGAGAGTAGTATTCCAAATGGACTTATGATTCTGCATTTGATTGAATGGGTGATCTCGGGATACATCAATTCTTGTTCTTTCGAAAAGATTAGATTTTTTTCGCAGATTGCTCTGGAAAATTCAGAGGAGAAGTATGTTCCTTATGCTCTTTCAATGGCTGCTGGTGGAGTATTAAGAGCTTCCAATAGACTTGCATCTCGTGGTGCAGGGTTGGAGATTCTTAGATTGACAATTAGTGCAGAAGACAAGATGGAATATCTTGCTAGTGGATTGATTTCCAGAATGGAAGATCCTGGGAATTGTCTTGACTATCCCATGGATAGACTCCTTTTACAGTGTTTAGCCTTATCATTCGCTCGAAGTGGCTCATTATCTTCAAGAGCCCCCTTTCTTATATGTCTTGCTTCTGCGTTGATCAGTGAAATTTTTCCCTTAAGGCGCTTATATGCCAAGATACTTGATAGTTCTCTTAGCAGTTCAGCTAGAATAAGGCACAATGAGGTTAGAGAACACGTGGAAAGTGTTCTATTTAAAGAAGGAGGAGCCGTAACTGGCATTTTCTGCAATCTTTATGCTTCTGCAGATGACCAAAACAAAGCTCTTGTGGAGAATCTCTTCTGGCGTTACTGTTGTGATTTGTATTTGAGTCATCGACAAGTCGTTCTAGTGCTTCAGGGCAGAGACAATAATTTACTCGGTGACTTGGAAAAAATTGCCGAATCTGCTTTTCTAATGGTTGTTATGTATGCATTGGCAGTAACAAAGCAAAAGTTAACTCCTAAACACGGCAAGGAAACTCAGATGGGGGTGTCGGTGCAGATATTAATTGCATTTTCTTGTTTAGAGTATTTTCGGCATATGAGGTTGGCCGAGTATCTGGATACTGTCAGGGCGGTCCTTCCTAGTGTTCAGGAAAATGAGTCTGCATGTGTATCATTTGTAGAGTCAATTCCTTCTTATGCTGATCTAACTGTTGGGCAAGGTAAGAATTATCTTCTGTTCTACTTATGAGTGCGCTAAGCGCCTAGCAACAGTACTTCTGATAGCTATATATGGATTATTGTAATTGATAAATTTCCGTGTTTGTTCTGCAATTATTCCTTCGTCAGGATCAGAGTACTGTTGGTCCACAGATGACGTGCAAACTGCTCGCATATTGTTTTACCTACGGGTTATTCCAACCTGCATCGAACGGTTATTGAGCCCTGTCTTTAGGAAATCTGTGGCTCCAACTATGTTCCTGTATCCTTAACCAAGGATCTTTGTTCCTTATGATATCTGAGTTGTGTGTCTTACCATCCTTAATGAAGCTTCAATTAGATATATGGGACACCCAAATGTAAAAGTAGCTCGAGCTGCACACTCTTTGTTTGCTGCATTTGTATCTTCTGGTATAGATTCTTTTGAGGATCAAAGGGCATCCCTAAAGGAGCAACTTGTGTACTACTACATGCAGAGATCTTTAGAGGTATCTAGTGATATGGCTATGCATGAAAAATCAATCTTCATTTTCTTCATTAAAAGTTTGTTCTCAATGTTGTAATTCCTCTGTTGCAGGCATTTCCTGCCATCACTCCTTTTGAGGGTTTGGCATCTGGAGTGGCAGCCATTGTTAGACATCTTCCTGCTGGTAGTCCTGCTATTTTCTACTGCATCCACAGTATTGCTGAAAAAGCAAATAAGCTATGCAGTGTAGAGTTCGTTCAGGATGGTCATATGTCCATGAAATGGCAAGGAGAGTCAGAACCTTGCAATAATCTGCTGGAGTTGCTCCTGCGCCTTTTGTCTCTTGTTGATATTCAAGTGAGTTCTCTTACTCGCTTGTTTGTTATGCCCTGCAGTAAGATAATTCTTAGCCAAACTATATATTCGGTGATTATTTGCCTGGGTGCTCGTACCACTTTTGAACCGCATTTATCTTTAGTTTTATCATTATAGGAAGTTGCTTCTGTTACTGTGGTAACTGAAGGACAAGAATTTCACATTGGGGCAAAGTAACTTAGTACGGTGGTGCAGAGCTTAATAAGAAACTCATTTTGTTAGAGAAATGACTTCTGCAACTGAGATAGTATATCTTCTTTGATGGGTTGAACTTTTAATATGATGATTCAGGTATTGCCAGACTTGATGAAGTTATTGGCACAGATGATAGTCCAGTTACCGAAAGATGGCCAGAACATGGTGCTCAATGACTTGTACGCACAGGTTGCAGAGTCTGATGATCTTACCCGCAAACCCACATTAGTTTCGTGGTTGCAGTCATTGTCTTACCTATGTACTCAAGCTAAGTCAAGTGGGAGTGATATCTCCAAGATTTCTTCATCAAAGAGAGAATCACCAAGTTGGATTGCTAAAGCCGCGCGACTTTAAAATGTTGAGGTGCAGTCTTGACTTGTCCGACTTAATGTAATCGTCTTGTGCACTTGTGTTTCTGTCAGTAAGCAGTAGTATGTAATTTTGCATTTGATAGGTGGTAAAATCTGCTTTCCATTCAGTACTGCTATTAGTTATGAAAATAAAAAGAACTCCCGTATAAAGATTTTTCAAGATTTTAGATAAGTTTGCAACAATCTCACCATTTCTACATGGCATCAGATTGACTGGTTGTGTGCTCTCTTTAGAGTTTTTGATCGATTTTCTATATATATCTTCTTGAGTTAAAATATTTCTTGTTTAGCATAGGTTGTTTATCGAAGTTTCAGATCAATCGAGATATTCCCTTCTCTTTTACTCTGTTGATTTCATTTTCCTTTGCCTTCCATTGCATAGATGCCACCAGTGAGAGGTTCTTTAAATCTGAGATTCAATTATACATTGATATGTCAAGCACAATTACGAAATAATTTACAAGAGAGTTGCTGTTTCTATTTCTATAACTAATCACCTAAAATTGTAGCTAGTTACATCAGGAATGTGCTGTTGTCCCCAACTACTTCAGTCATACTGCATATCCAAAAATCAGCAAACGAATACCTTAGTAGTTGCATTTTCGCACATTGTTAACTTGGTCAATCTGTCTTATAGAGCTGAAACTCGAACCAGGGAAGATGATCGGTCATTGAAATATTGACATAGATTTTTCAACAGATGAGAACTGGCAGACCAAATGGAACTCCACAACTTAACTTCGCTCCTGACCAGGTTAGCTTTTCTATACTACTATTTTGTCTGTCATGCAATCTTCTTTTCGTATAAAAGAGCGATTAATGGTGTCAGTTTCACATCATGTATTGCTTTCACTCAGTTTTGTCCACTTATTGATTGATGGGATGCATGTGCGCTTCTTTGCAGGGTAGAGATTGAAGTTTCCAGCTGCAAAGCTATTAGATCCTTCCGAGTTGCTCTTATTTCTGCCAAACATAATCTTGGTAATGAAACTCAATTTTCCTTTTGCCTTGAAGAAATCTGAATTGTATATATGCCCAGAGAACAGTTAGATACAACTCTTGACACTCATTATAGTTTGTCACCTTAGGCTCCTATACGGCTCTTTTAGCCCTAGTTTAGGGTAAAGTAGTTTCAGCAGAAGGTAATGTACTTGATCTTTTTCTGCTTGTCTGAGATATGCTGACAAAGATCGGACCAATACGAAAATCTGTGATGCCTTCCCTTTCTTTGCATGGATCACTTATTTTGATTGGTTAGGGAGCCTGCTTAAATTACTACTTTGGAGTTTCGCCGTAAAGAAATCTTACCTTTACCACGATAATCATCAAGTAAATGTAGGTCTGCTGCAGCTGTGAGAGACTGAGAGTTAGCTTAATTCTTTGCTTCTGTTTACCTAACACAGGTTCTAAATGCTCCTTTTCATCCAGATAATGGAATTTTCAATATCCACATGCTATCTGCTAGTTGTATGAAGTCGAAGAGGATACTCTCTATTCTCATGTATTGCGGATGCCACAACATTGAGCAGAGTCGAGAGTTCAACCGGCATGTGAACAGGATCGAGCATGTTCCGCAATATCCAGAATTAATCCGAGGTGATGCTGAGTAGCAATTGAATCGCGCCGATAAGGAATATTGCGGGAATGGGAGTAGAGGTTTAAACAAAAAAGATTATGCAAGGGATCACAGCTAAAGACAGGTGCTTACGAACAGTGTGTTGTATTAGCCAAATTTCAATGCCTTTGTTGAGCACTCTCTGGCTTCCCAAAGTTCTTTTTCCTCTTGTTCTTTCTTTTTGATTATTTACTCCAAGTTGTTGATGGTCCCCTTACACCACACTGGCCCTCCTTTCAACCAGAAGTTTCACTGAATTGCTTAAGCCAAAAGAGAGATAATAGCACAAATGATCCCTGAACTTTGTTGCAGTGTACAATGTCATCCTCGAACCTTTAATTTATGCAATATGGTCCTTGAATTTTAGCCGAATGTGCAATGCCATCCATAAATTTTTAATTTGTCCAATGTAGTCTGTGAATTATTGGTAAATGTTCTATGTTGTCTGTAGATTATATGAAAATATTTAGAAGTTCATAAACCACATTAAACATTATACCACAGTTTGGGGATCATATTGTATAAATTAAAAGTCCCCTCTCCTAAGAGAAAGGGAGACATCACCCACATCGAGTTTCATGTTGGATCCTCAAAGCAACCTTTGCAATTATTGTCTTTTTGACTCCTAACAATTACCTTGTTTCTATCCTCTTAATGTTTGCACGTGGATGCGATCTTTTACTCTTCTTATGCATTTGATGCTAGTGCTTCATTGGATGGGCAAAACGTGGGCAAAATGCATTGTGATTGAAATTAAAATTAAGATAAAGAGTTCTGTTAACGGTGTGGCAAAGACACTTTTTGTTTAACTATTATTGTGGAGATTGTTTGTTTTTTCTTTTGTACTTCTATGGCATTGAAATGATTAAGTAAAGTGCAATGAAACTCTCTGCTATGAAAAAAAACATGGTGATAGTATTTTATAATATAAAGAATATGAATTGCAGCTTTTGGTTTGTGCTTTTAGATTTAAGTGGAGGGGCGAGCTGGTGGGTTGCTATGCTAGTTCTTCTCGAGATAGCTGGTTAACCACAGTTGTACCTTTAGATTATAAAAAACAACAGAGAATTGAAGTGAAATCTCAAATCGCCTGCTGATGATAAGGCAAAACCTTTCAGATATGTAAATTAGTTCATTGCGCACATCCAATGAGACCTAGGGGGGCGCAAAATAGAGAAGCTAATTTGTGACTTTTCACGTGACGGTTATAAAAAAATGTACACAATATCATGTTCTAGAGCATTCAATGCTCGAGAGATAAGCTCAGCAGCCTATGACTACGTAAACCTGGAAAGCTACTCAACGAGCTATTTGATCTCAACTAAGATTTTTTTAACAGTGCTCAATTCTTTGAGTTTGAGCTAAAGCATGAAATGTTTAACTTAAGTAACCAGGTTAGCCTAATCAAATAGGCGGATTTCCATAATATACATAATAATCGAATCGAGTCGAGTCGAGTCGAGTCGAGTTTGAGCTCATCAAAAGCTTAATCGAGTCCATCTCGGGGTTTTCAAACTGTACGTAATCGATCGGAGTCAAATACGAATAACTTAAGGAAAAATGGTCTAAAAAATTCTAAACTTATTATACGGCGGTCAATTCATTCCTAAACTTTTCAATTATGCCAATTTAGTTCAAAATTTTTTAATAATTGACTAATTTAATCTTAAATTTTTTAATTGTGTTAATTTAGTCCTAAAATTTTTTTAGCCCTCTCACGGAGCAAGTCGAGAGACGGATTGGAGTAGCCCACCCATCCTATACCAATTGACTGAAGCGTGGTCGAGCCATGTGGCACATTCTCACTGGTCGATGATCTAAATTAGGTGATGTGGCAGCTCGTTACCGGTTCCTATCCAGCTCAGCAGTAGGGGAAAAAAAACTATCACCCGACAGGTTCCTATCTATCGCATCAAACGCTTTCCATCCTGTCCCCTCGCTCTCTACTCGGACATGTCTTGGTGGGATGATAACCACAAGACATGGCCTTAATTCCATCACAAGATTTTCGTAAATTAATGACCTATTGAGCATGTGATAATCATTCAAGTTACTAATAAAAAATTATGAGAGATTGTCATTTCGCATAATTTCGAAGATTTTATACTCAATATTTATATATTTTATATAAATTAGGGCTTTCTGTATACTTAAAATGAAGGAAAAATTCCAAAAAAGGGCCCAAAATGGAATCATTTTCTCAAATAAAGGCCTGAAGTGAACATTATCTCAACCTGAAGTTACCAAATCGTCTCAAATAAAGGCACGGAGTGGCCAAATCGTCTCAAAAAGGACCTTTGGCCGGTTGGTGACTAGTCCGTCACCGGAAAAGGGGTATTTTAGTCAAAAACATTATAAGTATATTTTTTGATTTTTTTTACTTTCTTTTTCTTTTCGTTTTTCTTTTTTCTTTTTCCTTTCTTCTTCTTCCCTCCCAGCCTTCACTGAGGTTGCCGGCCTCAAGCGAGGTTGCCCTCGTCGGCGTCGACGAGGGCCGCCCTCGCCTGGGCTAGCGAGGGTCGCCCTCGCCGGCGTCGGGCGAGGGTCGCCTCGCCTGGGCTGGCCTAGCCCTCGTCGGCGCTGGCCTAGCCCTCGCCGGCGTCAAGTGATGGTGGCTCTCGCCGGCGCCAAGCGAGGGTTGCCTCGCTTGGGCTGGCCTCGCCCTCGCCGGCGTCAAGTGAGGGCAGCTCTCACCAGCGTCGGGCGAGGGTCGCCTCTCCTGGGCTAGCCTCGCCCTTGCTAGCTCAAGTAAGGGCGGCCCTCGCCCGACGCCGGCGAGGGCGACCCTTGTTAGCTCAGGCGAGGGCGCCCTCTGCCTGAGGCCAGCGACCTCCGCCAGCTCCAGCGATGACCGACAGAGGGAAGAGAGGAAAAAAATAAAGATAAGGAAAAGAAAAGGAAAAGGAAAAGAAAAAATAGAAAAAGGAAAAAAAAATTCAAAAAAGTAAAAGACAAAAATACCATTTGGCCAGTGAGGTCAGGTTGTCATTTTAGACTGATATGGTCACTTCAGGTTTTTATTTGAGACAAGATTCACTTCAAGCCTTTATTTGAGACAAGATCTACTTCAAGCCCTTATTTGAGAAAATGACTCCACTTCGGAGCCATTTTTAGAATTTTCCCTAAAATGAATGGTTTGCTGACTAAAGGAATAAGGTGATGTGGCCATCTATAAATTTTTTTTTCTTTCCACCACTTTTTTTTCTTTATCATTTAAAACCTTTGGTCAGTGCGAATTGAATAGAAATTATATATGGAAATTTCTCCAAATAGAAATTGGAGCCCTAGGCTTTGGGGTTAGCATATTGTTGCTTATGTTTTAGCAAGAATAATATATTCAATGAAAAGAACTAATATTTTTTTAAAAATGGGTCGGTAAAATCCAAGATACAAAGGCTAAAATACAATCACGAGTTCTGTTTTACATATGTTCACACTTAGTAATTACTTGAAAGAAATAAGGAGAGAGAGAACTATTACAATAGCTACAAAGAACATAGATTTCTACGGACAATATTATGGAGATAAAAAAAATACTTTTTGTTGCAAAATTAAAATACGAGGCAACGAGATCATGTTTGTTGTTACAAAGTTAAATCGAAGGTGATCAAACAATATATGAAAGCCATTCTCTATGGTAAGGAAGGACCACATAATCGAATCTAAACTATTGAAATAGGTCACTATTTTATGGCCTAGCAAAACCTAGCTCAATTTGTACTTTGTGGCTCTGGCATTAATATGGAATTTATAAATACTCGGTTGGACTAATCTCGTATATACTGAGGAGGCTCAAACTTGACTTCTAAGGTTAAGTACTTGACCACTCAGCCAAACCTTCAATATTTAGGCTTAGGGTGTATTTGTTTCACTGAAGATAAATGTTAATATGCGGAAGAGAGAAAATGGAAAATTTATGTATTTTGATATATTACGATAAAGATTACATCAGCCTATTACAACTATTTAAGGTAATATATATCAATCAAGATATGCTCAATCGAAGGAGATATATGTGCAATATTAAGTGAGAGATCTAGATAATCAATAGTAAATTCATAATTATCTCTAATATAAGATAATATATAATAGAAAAACTTAAGAATCTCTAATATTGCTAACATCCCTCAAACTCAAGGTGACTTCAAGAAGTCAACTAGAGTTTGAACCTGTCAGAATAGTGCCACGAAAACTTGTTTCTCCAATGATGCCGTGTGGAATCGGGCTAGTCAATCCGCAGTTGGGCTTGTCGATCCGCGGTGGGGCGATGTGTTAGGCATCGTCTTCCAAATCTAGCTCATTTGAGGGCGGTGAGTCTAGTGGTGGTATCGGCTTCTTGAAATAGGCTTGCGAAATAATAACTAAGCGACATGACTTGGCATCGTAGCATCAAGCGGCCTATATGGCTGGCTTAGAATAGGCCGCTTAGAAATAATTACTAGGATGTGCTTGCACGAAAAATAGTGATTGGGATGAGGCTTGTGCGGCTAACATCGAAAGAAAGCTACATGAAAAGGGCTTGACGGGCAAGTTGTTAAATGATCTTGGGTCTGTCACCCCCAAAGCTAGCTCAAAGGTGAGACTTTTCCTCGCACTTATAAACTAACCAGGGCCCCTTCCACAACCAATGTTTGACAACCTCAACATCTCTCCCTCACACATCGGGCTTGGGTCAGAGCCGGAACAATCCGTATCTCTCCCATATGACTGTTGGGTCTAGACTTATTGGCAACCTGAGCTCTAATACTAGTTGAATCTTAATATGTGGAATAGTGAAAATGGGAAATTTATGTATTCAATATATCACGACAAAGATTACATTTGACTGTTATTAGACTTTACGAGACAACCATCTAAGGTTTTATATATATCAATTAAGATATGTCCGTAGATATGCACAATCAAGAAAGATTTACGTGCAATATTAAGAGATATGGATAATCAATGGTAATATCATAATTGTCTTGAACATAAGATAATATTTTATAGAAAATCTTTAAAATCTCTAATATCGCTAACAACCGAAAACTTCTTGATAAAGGAAGATATTTTGCATGGTTTGTTTGGTAGTTTAAAGAAGGTGATTTCTTCTTACTAGAAGGGAAGTTATTATCCTCCGATCTAAGTTTGTTTTTTTTTAGTCGATAGGAAATATATTCCATGCATTGATTAGCTTTCTGTCATTCAGATACTAAAAACGGAAAACAATCTTCGAAAGACACTTTTTTTTCAAACAAATGGACCCTTAATCATTATCTTACACATAAAGACACGGAGATTCGGGAGACGTGTTTTGTACATTGATTATCTTTCTATCATTCAAATTTTGAAAAATCGGAAAATAATTTTGAGAGAGCTTTCTTTCAAGCAAATGGACTCTTAAAATATTATTTTTACGCATAACGACATGAAGATTCGGAAAATTCAATTATTTTATTCAACATGATTGGAATTATGGGGCAAGTGATATAAATTATGGATAAATTCTTTATTCAAAAGCGAACCAAATCGTCGTAGAATCTTGCATCGGACGCTTGATGTTCTTAGGTCAACATAATAATGAGTTAGGCATTGTTATCGAAACTAGATGGGGGGAAGGACAAGGACCCCACTCCCCCCCTAGCGCCACGTGTCGCATTTCATGAGGTAGTGTCGAATTTCCATATACCCATCCGTTTATTTATTATTCCCTCCCTTTAATTTTTAGCCTTCTTTGAGCGGTGCCTGTCTTCTCCAGGATCTTACCAAAACAAGAAAGATATTTGGTCTCCGTCGTTCTTTATTCATCCATCCATTTACTTTGATCATTTCAAGAATGCTCCCCAGGGTTAGCCATTGGAAGGCTAGGGTTCTCTGATTTATCTTTCTTGGGTCTCTGAATTCTTTTCCTTTAGATTATAATAAATGATCTTGCAACAAGATATCTGATATTTTCCCCCTTCGCCCAACAAGCCCTTTTCCTTTTATTGGCTTGGTTTCATACGGTTCAGATTCTCGTCACTCCTTTTCTATTTTTGGAAACCCTAATCATGGTCTTGCAGATCCGGTAACCTCCTTCACTCACTCAGGAAGCTGGCTCTCGATACACTGTCATTTCTCAGTTCCCATCTTCTTGGCATCATATAGTCGTTTCTAGGAGTTCTTTGGCTGCTTCTTTTCATCTCATCTCTCAAGCGCGAGAAACCAAAAATGGTGAGAGGGAAGACGCAGATGAAGAGGATAGAGAACACCACGAGCAGGCAGGTGACCTTCTCGAAGCGTCGGAGCGGGCTGCTCAAGAAGGCCTTTGAGCTCTCGGTTCTTTGTGATGCTCAAGTCGCTGCCATCGTATTCTCTCCTTCGGGAAGGCTTTACGAGTTCTCCAGTTCAAGGTACTTCGGTTAGTGAACCAATTACTTTCGTTGCTATAATTATTAGCTGTTTCTTGATTTGCTGTCTTCAGTCACGACTAGATTGACTGCAAAAAAGCAATAAAAAGAATAAAAACCCTGTAATTCTTATTAAGTTTTCTGGTAGGAATTAGTACGTATTCTATTCATTTTAATTTTAGTACAGATGACACCGTCATTAATAAAAAAAATTTGAGATGCCTATGATTTTAACCAAATAGGCAAGTAACTATCATCTTCTCCTTTATCTTTCTTCCCTGTAATCAGATCGTTCTTTATCTTCTGTTGTTACAGTCTTGCACGGCAATTAGTATTTAGTCAAATTTTTTTTTCCGTATATTATGGTCCTTGCTCCCAGATTGAGATCTGCATAATCTCTGCAGTACTAGCTTGGAGTACGAAATATAGAAAATATTATTTCGCACATGGAAGAAAAGATTCTATTTGCAAATAGTACAGTCAAACCATAGTGGCCTGTGTAAATTTTCATTTTATGTAAGTAAATATATACCTATATGGAAGGCGAATGTTTTCTTTGCAAGATGGCACGTGTAAAAGATTTCTCGACGGTGGGTCAAATATAATTCCTCATATAATTAGTCTGATGGCAAATTTTAAGTGGGTATTTATATAAATAAGTTGGTCATGTTATGCACAATATTTTCTAAACCATACTTTGTGTCAACATAACTTTGATCTATATGAATATAGTTTAACGTGCCGAATGTTTAGATTATTCTCAAATGTCTGAATTTTTACTTCTTCATTGACATATACATGGTCATCACCATTTTAGAGTTGCACATATAGGAGCTGACATGAAATAAAAACTTTCTACTGCAGGCACTGAAACATAATTGCTTCTATACTGGTTAATCAACTGTGAACTAGTTATTTTATTTCATTTTATATTTTCATAAGACGGTTATTCATACCTTGTGACTTGACTCATCCTTATGGATTCACGCAACTCGCCCCATCCGCATGTTGTTTGACCCACCCACAAAATGGTTGGCGTGGCTTGGATGACATCATTTTTTAATTTTTTTTTTCGTCTAATGGTTACCATCGAATACATTTTGGTTACCTTGACCACCATAGAAACCAACGTTCGTTAGTGTTGTCTTGGAAAGACTTACTGACAAAGATAAACTCAATCTTGCCGAGAATGATCACACTTAAATCATCTATGGTAGAGGAAGATGGTATATCTCTTTCTCAATATTGTATGCACTGTGAGAGGAGTTAATTACCTCAAATCTGCCTCCCTTAGTTCTTGATTTGTAAAAGAGCTATATATTCTGAAAGATTGGATTTATGGTCACTAAGTGTATTATTTTTTAGCTACTGTTTGTATGATCTTTGTGGTTCATTGGACTCAATATCTGTTATTCATATATATAGTTTATGTATTTTCTTGAAAGTGTTAAGTGAAGGAGATGGGGACAACGTATGCATGGAAAGAATGCTAATCTAGTACTCAATCTATATGGAAAACTAATCCCCTACTAAGAGCAAGAGTTAGGATTTCCCAGTTTTAGTACTTAAAACAGAAAATCTATACGGTACAATTCAGTCCTAGTTAAAATCATATTATTCTCTCTTTAAAAGCAAAGACACTCGTTCTCCTCTTCCTCTCACATTTATACTCTTACCGCAATGGGATATATAATATGATGAACCGGTTAATAAATATTTTAGACAATTGTTTTTGGTCCACTTCATCGGAGCTTACATTTTTCAGGAGAAAGATCGATTTACCACTTTGCAGTACAGGATTGAATCCTGACATTTCATCTCAGCTTTATCGAATCTGTTATTCAAGATTTTGTGCCTATTTTCCTAACTTGCAGTGGTTGTAGATTTGGTGCAGTTAAAACCACATCATGTGTTTCACGTCCAAAGATCGATTTACCCACGATAAGAAATAAAATATACTATATATAATGTACTCGGTGTTCACCTATTACCTGCCGGTTTAAGTTGTTGAAAAGAGAAAAAAAATGTTTGTTTCTCAATAAGAGTGGAATGTGCTTTAGTGATAAATTAATAATCAAGAGGAAAGAGATCATATTTACCGTATGATTGGTAATATGAAGAACAATCCTATATCTTGTACCTCTACACTCTATTGAAGATTACTTGAAGTTATGATCTATCATATCATTGATTATGTTGTGTTAGAACCTCCAACTAAAAAACTTAAGCTAATAGGTGAAGAGACACTATGTGAATAAGGCTCATTGAAACCCCATATACAAGCAATGTGAGATAGGGAGCCTCACATGGTAAATAAATCTGGGGTGGAACTTGGCTTCTATTCTATATTAGAAAGTCTAATCCAAAAGCTTAAATTGATAGGTGGATGAACACTACATTAATATATGGTCCATTAGAATCCTAAACAATTGCTATGGGATACTTTAACATGTTGTATATAGTAAGATTGACAATGAAAAGCACTCGTCATTCGGCCAAGTTCTTGCTAAGTCCTGAGATATATATTTGCTATTACATTAATAACCAAGAGGAAAGAGGTCATATTTACAGTATGATTGGTAATATAAAGAACAATCCTGTATCTTGTACCTTGGCACTCTATTAAAGATTACTTAAAGTTATGATCTATCATATCATTGATTATGTTGTGTTAGAACATTCAACTAAAAAACTTAAGCTAATAGGTGAAGAGACACTAAATGAATATAAGGTTCATTGAAACCCCATAAGCAAGCAATGTGAGATAGGGAGCCTCGCACGGTAAAGAAATCCAGGGTGGAACTTGACTCCTATTCATTATTAGAAAGTCCAATCCAAAAGCTTAAATTGATAGATGGATGGACACTACATTAATATAAGGTCCATTAAAATCCTAAACAATCGCTGTGGGATACTTTAACATGTTGTATATAGTAAGATTGACAATGAAAAGCACTCGTCATTCAGCCAAGTTATTGCTAAGCCCTGAGATATATAATTTCTATTACATGGCGCCAAATACTTCAAGACTCCAAAATTTTGGAATATTAGTTACCTATATATGTTTCTTCAAAGAAGATAGGAATCCTATCTATTGATCAGAAACTGAACATAATGTTCTAGAGGCTCTTGTGTCTTTGGTGACCAAACTAGCTGAAGACATTCATCTAAGAATGGATAAGAAAAAAATTCTCAAATTAGAATTCCTTTGCTACCAAAGCTTGTCAAGGACCTGATGAACTCTCCATGTTTCATCTTCATGCCCAAGCATCAATTATTATATCAGCCAAAAAAATGGATCTTTGCGACCTAATTCTTGCTAAAAGGTGGTTTCCATTAATTAACAGGAGCCGAGATTACATAGAATTTGTCTCTCTATACTAATCACAACTTGCAGCCTTTATTCAATAGTTAAATTACCATTGAGTGATTAGGTAGGAATGAAGACATAGAGAAGAGAAATCCCAGTTCTCGAGTCATCCTGCCGGTGCTGTACGTTAATAATAAGGATGGCTGAAATTGTAGAAAACGTGCTCTTGAGATATATATATATATATATATATATATATATATATATATATAAACTGTAAATTGCTGCTCTCTAATCACTTAAAACTTTAAGAGTAAACGGTTACGCACTTAATTATAGCATGACAGTAGAATAAGATGTTAGTTCGTTTCATCAAACTAATTCTTTGCCATAGTTATTGAGTTGCCCTTCTTTCCTGGGTTAGGTTGTGCTAAAATTTATGAATTGCTGCAAAAATTGGTCCTTCAGTTTTTTTTTTCCTTAACTGTTGATTAGATCATCAATCATATCCCTCTAGTAGACTCACCACTGAGCTTGTCAGTTCAAAAAACTTCAGCTGAGCATCCAAGCAACATGTATGAAGCGACACGCCCATGCATATATGCTTTTTCGGTTTTCAAGTTTGCTTTTCTTCTTGGAAAGGAATTATTACTTTGATAGCAAAGCTAAAGGGTAAATATGTATCAGAGTATTTGTGTGTATCGTTAATCGTTGTCTCAATATGTTTCATTAAGCATTTGGCCTGGTATAGCTCTGGTCATTTCCACTAGGACACATGCAAGTCATATAAATGCTGATATGGCAATGGTAATTTTCAGCATGAGCAACATAATAGAACAATATCAAAGGAAAACAAAGGACCCGGGCTGCAGCGCGAAAACTACCGAAATCGATTTTCAGGTTCGCCTTTTGATACTGATCATGTTCTTAGCATCTATCCCACGTCATCTCATGCATAAATATTAATATATTCTCTAGCTAGCATGTTCTTAGCAGGTTCGCCTTTTGATACTGTCAGGATTTATCATATTCTAATTAATTATTGCCGTGACTACGATGATTACATATTGTCCTTGGAATGTCGAGTCTCTAATTTGCATAAAAAATTTAGCAGGGAAAAGAAAGATTGCCTAAGACAGGCAAAAACATCGCGTCCACTCTCACAAGTTAGACCAGTCATTTATGTGCATCAATGAAGCGGATTATATGTGTCATCTCTGAAATCGGATGTCTCTTCTTAAACTCGCGATTAATTTTGGATGAGTAATTTCTTGGAACACATATTTGGCTCTAGCTTGTTGAAAACAATTCAAATCATAGACAAATGCATATCTGTTCACCATTACGAGAAAAATACAATAGTAATCGTGCTATTTGCTTATGAAAAATGTTTTGCATAGTTGTCCAGCAATAATGACCTTCGTCTCTCGCTTGAGGATGTGAACAACAAAGAGAGAACAAACTCAAGACATCATTCAAGTTGAATGGAGCTAAGTGTGTCTGTTTTTTTTATGCAGAATCTGAAGGGGAACTCTCTAGACATGGTAAAGAAGATTGAACTTCTCGAAGTTTCGAAAAGGTCCGAGTGATCTCCCTCGTAACTTTTTTGGAAAATATTTAGATCTTTATTAATCAGTCCGATATCGTGTCGATTGCATTATTGCGAATGGTTGTGTAGACAGCTCTCAGGAGAAGTTTTAGATACATGTTCGGTTGAGGAGCTACAATCGCTGCAGAACCAGTTAGAGAGAAGCTTAAGCAAAACCAGGGCAAGAAAGGTATATGCAAGCTGCCCCTCTAGCTGTATCGCTCATGTTTTGATTCTACAATTTCCCCAAAAAAAGAAAAGGGAGTATGTACAAATTGCCACGATGTTAAATTAATTACTTGTCGATCTCATGCTCATGCAGAATCAGCTCTTTCAGGAGCAGATTGAGCAGCTGAAGCAAAAGGTAATTAAACTGTAAATCCATGCGCATGCGTTTGTGATCGCATGTGCTTCTGCTGGTTTCGCTAGATTCATCGACTTGTGATTTCTAATTCCTATGTGATTAATCTTTCTTTGGTCCATTGTAGGAGAAAAAGTTGTCGGACGAAAACAAAAAGTTGCAGAATAGGGTGATTTGCCTCCCCCTCAATTTCTTTTAGTCAGTGGACGCTACCTGGAACTTCAAGTTTTGAATTATGATCTTACCGTCGAAGTTTTTTGTTTCAGAACGGCATGCGAGAGCTGCTGCAATTTGTGACCGTGCATCCAGAAGTTCCTCGAGGACGGGGACTGGACGTGGAAACTGAATTATCCATAGGATGCCCTCGAAGACACAGGTTAAACATCGATCCACATGAAGATGGTTTGAGCATACACTAGCTATAATAGTTGCCATTTGTTCAAAAGCTGGTACGAGCTTGACCATAACTCGGAATTCTCTCTCTCTCTCTCTCTCTCTCTCTCTCTCTCTCGTTGTAATTTTTTCGTGATCGACTTCATAATATCTGTCTAAAGCGGCTTTGTTACCCAAATGATGGGAAGAGGGAGGGTTTCAATTTGTTGCCTCCTTGTACTTTGGAGCATGTAGCTGCTACTCATATATAAATAATGCCCCTGGTGTTTACGCGTGTATGTGTTCGTATAAGGATTTGGATGTGTCGTAGAGGCTTTTATGTCTTGTACAATGACTTGGGGGGATCGCACTCGCCTGTCGCGGGCCGTACCTTCTCAAAGATTCGATTTTGTTACCTTTATTTCTTCGGAAGTTATCCGAATAGACAGGACAGAAACATGGTCCCATTGGTATGAGCCACGTCCATCCGCAGCAAAGACTAGGAAAAGAAGGAAAGATTGGAAGACCAGAGGATGATAGCTCTAATTTCTTAATAATTGAAGTTCCTCTTTTCTGGAATTGTTTTGCCCAAGAAAGCTGAACTTGGAGTCCCGAAGTTTCATCTGTCTAATGCTTTGCTCGTCTTCCTAAGCTCTCGCAAATGGTCAAATGAAGGCAAAGAAGCTGTTCAACAGAAGGGACTCAAGACGAAAAACTTGGGACTCTACTCTGGACTTATGCTATCGCATTCTTCTAATCGTGTGCTTAACCACAAACGCAGTGCCGTGTCCAAAACAACCAGCCTTCGCTAGACTTTTATCAGAAACAGATCCAGGAAAAGCTGGAAAATTTCGTTGACTTTTGTAAAAAAATTGAGGACTCTTGGCTCACTTTGTATGAACTGAAGATACTTTCAAGATTCATGCGTGCTCTCTTTCATATTGATAGCAACCTTCAGTTGGTAGGTAAACTAGGGTTGATTTCGCAGATAGTGGCATAAACCTGTTTTCGTTTCCTTCGTTTTTGTTACACTTGGAAACCTTATCCCCCCTCAAACTGCGCGATTGTCGTACTTTGTACCCTAAACTTTTTAATTAACGTCGAATTATTCCGATGTTTGTTCCGTATGACGTGGCTCCATACGATCACTATTAAATAAAAGTCGAGAATTCCGGTGAATATCGTCAAGTATGTTATATCGGGCCAGTTTCCATTCCTGTCATACTCAATTTATGCAATGATTCAACACTTCAATTCATGCAGTCTCTAGAAAATTGTGTGGCATAAATATCATTACACTTTCCTACATTGTTACTTCGCAAATGTCCTATTGATGTTGACTTGGATGCAAATCAACACTGAAATATATCTAAATTGAACCGGCATCTTCTATAGGCTTGGAGTGAAAAGGCGTTCGTGAATCTTCAACATTCATCTCCACAAAACACGGAGTCCAACGAAGAAATTAATTCATTGACTTATTCCGGATGATGTCATCAATATATATATATATATATATATATATATATATATATATATATATATATATATATATATATATATATGTTCTACCACCAACCGAAGGTCAAATTTTCTGCAATTTGTATGGAAGCATACGAGAGAACATGCGATGGCCAAATATGATGGCCTATAGTTAAGACCAAGGTTGGAAAAGGGGGCCGAATTCGAAAGTGACTCATTGATCAAGTTAGGTGGCCTAATATTTTGGACCAGATTTACTAAGGTCGCCCACAAAAAGTTATTGCTCATGCTCAATTAAGATCACATTTGAATAATTTAATGCAATGTTTTAATTGAATATACGTTTTTCTTTGGAATTGCTTGACATAACATGATAACAGCTTGCGCACGAATGTCACATGGCTCCAAGGGTGAGATAGGCATGAATAATTGGCAAGAGATTAGGGATTGAAACAGCAACATACCCAGACAGATTGGAGAAGATTGGAAAATCATGCTTCCTTTGGAAAAACATCACTCGAACTCATGTTGTGGCTTTCTTCATGTTGACAAAGTGCTGATAATTAGGCATAAGATCGTACATCATAATTTATGAGAATCTGCTTAATTATTAATAGACCCACGACACACCTTGCTCCCAAGTCTCAATCGATTTTCATAATCGTATCTATCTCCCACGCCAACCGTAAATTGATTCTACCCACCTTTTTGCTGGTAATTTAGCAATTGAGGAACACAATTCTTATGGGTCATGCACAAGCATATATGTCCGATTCTATCATCATCAAGTGTAAGTTCTTTTCAATTAGGTTACGTTAAAGTGTAAATTCTTTCACATCTAGACTCCATTTCACGTTTAGATCTTTCATACTGTCCTAGCATGGGGCCTTACCTTTTTTTTTTCTTTTTCTTTTCTATTTTGCACGTTTGCTCGACACAAGACACTATCAATTTTGAGCACATAATTCACGTGATCCTTAATGCACATGAGCTCAATCCATCTCAGCCGTTGGATGAAGTGGGTCCCACGTGGGGATCAAATGGTCACCATTTCTCATCAACTGAGATGGGGGATGGTCGGTGAACCTCCCCGCAAAGGACAAGACTTCAAGAAACAGTAACAGAACGAACGGCCGAGATGGGATAGTGGGCGATCCTACGGCCGAAACACGCTCACCTAAAGTTCGGCACGCCCATTTGCACAGTACAATAAGCAAGCAAGGTCGCCGGATTCGGTAGCCACCGCTGCGCTGCTGTTGCTGTCGGCCCAAAAGAAGGAAGTGTCTTTTCCCCCTAGAGGAGAGGCCTAACCCTCGAAGCAACCCCCCTCATCAACGCCGAAACAGAGAGGTTCGAATACAGACACGGCCCTACTTCCATTTCCATCACGTACCCAAAACTTGCTGGGCAAACCAACGAAGCGTTGCTTCGGTTCTCGCTTTCCAACGTTGAAGTCCACAAGCAAAAGCCTTCGCGTCCTCCCAAGTAAAAGCAAAAGAGAGGAGAATAAAGAGAAAAAAGAGGGCCTGAGGAAAATATCGAGTACTTGCTTTGCTTCTAATGATAGTCTTCCTTCTCTGTTCTTTTCTAGAATATAATGGAGTGTCCGGGTCTTTTTGTTTGTTGAGGATAGGTGGAGGGGTTGGGGTTGGAGGCTGCAGCACGTCTCTTGCCTTTGCAGGGAGAGAGAGAGAGAGAGATGGCTACTCTGACTGCTTCTCCTCTCGTCCCTTCGAAGTTGGAATCTCCTTCTCTTTATCAGAAACAGAGGTCTCTGTTTCACTACAGGAGATCTACCAAGAAGAAAAATCTCTCTATAGTCCCCGTGAGTTTCTCTTTCTTTATTCCGCTCATGCTTCTGAGTTGTGCACTCTAGACGCTCTGTTCTGGGAATTTCCTTTTTCGGAAAGGGGAAAATAAATTAAGGGTTGCTTCGTAACTTTTCTTTAGAAAGAATCTTGGTCACGCATATTTGTTTAATTGATTGGATTGGATCAGGTTGCGAGGTTATTTGGGCCGGCGATCTTCGAAGCGTCCAAGTTGAAGGTTCTCTTCTTGGGCGTGGATGATAAGAAGCATCCGGGGACGCTTCCGAGGACTTACACCCTCACTCACAGTGATGTCACTTCGAAGCTCACTCTGGCTATATCTCAGACCATAAACAACTCTCAGGTAACCAACCAACCCCACCCTGAATCTTGATTTATCCAGAATCTGACGTTGCATGAGATTCTGTTAAAACTATGTTTGTTCTTCGTCATGAGAGTTTCCTCTTGCTTTTTATTCTTGGGTCGTGAACTGAATAGCATAACTGCGTGAGAAGCTGGGAGAATTTAATGAAAGCAAAACAGGGGAAACAGAGCACAGAAGCATCGCGTACTTCTGGGCAAATCCGAGCTGGGATTACTTTTTTTTTCCTTAAACAAGAAAGAAAAGATAGGGTTAACAGTTAGCACAAGAGATCATATTTATCTATTGCAAATTGCCTCTTTCAAAAATTTATTTCCATTTCATGTATTTAACTGAAGATCTCGGTTATTGTAGCTGCAAGGATGGTACAACAGATTACAGAGAGATGAAGTTGTGGCAGAATGGAAGAAAGTGAAGGGGAAGATGTCTCTGCATGTCCACTGCCACATCAGTGGAGGCCACTTCCTCCTGGACTTGGTTGCCAAGCTCAGATACTTCATCTTCTGCAAAGAGCTCCCTGTGGTAACTCCTAACTAATGACCCACTAATTAATCAACTTGAACTCTATACACCCTATTCAGATCGACCATTTCTTGTATCACAGATCAAGAGAATTAGTTTTGGTTAATCAATTTGATCTAATCTTTATCTTGGAAACGATCGAATTGACCGAACAGATTATACTTTAAATGAAAACACAGGTGTTGGGGGCATTCGTGCATGGGGATGGGCATCTTCTAAACCAGCACCCAGAGCTGCAGGAGGCTCTGGTCTGGGTGTATTTCCACTCCAACCTTCCAGAGTTCAACAAGGTAGAGTGCTGGGGCCCACTTAAGGACGCCACCGCCCCTTCCTCGGCCGGGGCCCGCAAGGGGGAGGAGGTTGAGACAGAGATGCCGCCCACCGAGTGGGAGCTGCCGGAGGCGTGCCGCGCGGAGTGCGAGTGTTGCTTCCCTCTGATGAGCTCGATACATTGGTCGGAGGAGCTTCCCCGGCAGAGCGGGGCCGGTGGGTACGGGGCCCAGGAGGGTGCGGGCCAGCAAAGCTAAGCCCAAAGCGACAAACCTTGTATCTGCCTATTGGTCAGCTATTGCCTTTACTTGTCTGATGGGTGTGCTTTGTAAATGAATGCATGAAATTGTGTATATAAGAAGCCAATTTGTTGAATGAATTTCTCCCAAGCAAAGTCTTGGGTCGCTGTCCAGTGGCCATTTTGGTGTGATGTGAAACGACTATAGAGGGAATTGATAAAGATGGATTTGGACTTTGTGCTTTCTTTTGCTTGCTTGATTTGGTTGGACTCTTGGTTTGGCATTGAGCCACGTGAACTGGAGCTTCTTCTAGGCGTCCTGATAGGGCATTGAAATAAGACGAACCATCTTAATCAGCAGAAGTAGTTCTCCCGTGAATAAAGCTTTAGAAAGATTGTCCTTTCTTAGTGCGAGGTTGTGTAGATTTGTCCTTTCAACTTCAGTCTTAGGCCGGGACATTAATCTTAATGCTCTTTGCTTTCAAATAAGTAGAATATATTCTCATTAGGGTAAAAAGTGACAAGACAAAAGAAGGGTCGGGACCGCATGAGCGATTAAGGGAAAGAGAAAGTATGTAATGTAAAGCCATGCACGCGCATCAATGGAAGTTAACGTTGGCCTTGTAAGTCATGCCCACGCTCCAGTTGGGAGGGGCGACGTTGTAGGCGACGAGGGTCTCCTTGGTGGTGTAGGAGGTGAGCTTGAAGGAGAGAGACTGGCCGCCGAGCGTGGCGAAGGCCTGGTACGAGGCGCCCCAGTTGTGGCTCATGTTGATCCACCCGGTCCGGCTCCCCTTGACCCACATGCCGGCGATGTCGCCACCGCCTCCCACGTTCATCACGTACACCAGGAGCCAGTACCCGTTGCCTTGGAATTGAAACCGGATCCCACCGGTCCCCACGCACGGGACTCTGTCGATTCGATCAAAGCATGATATGATTTCAGAGAAGTGGATGAGTTGAAAGTTTATGTATAGGAACAGATTTTCCATAGTTAGTTAAAGGAGAAATCTAAGGTAGATAGGGCAAGCTAGGGGATAATAGAGCCGAGGAGTCTCCATAGAGTGTGTGGCTCGAGCTCAGCTCAACTCATGCACTAAATGCTCAAAACTCGACTCGGGCTCGACCAAGTGTTGAATTTCTTGCCCGAGCTCGGCTCGAATAGAAAATCAAAATGCTCGGAGCTCAGCTCGGTTGCGGCCGAGTAATAATTGAGCTCAATCAAGTTTATCAAACTTGAATATATACCCTCTGTAACTCTGTACCGTGGGTATATCACACAATTTCAAAGACTTTTATATCTATTTTAATAAGGTATAATGACACAAATAGTCCTTGATCTTTAACACAATGTGCAATATGGTCTCTGAACTTTTAATTTATTCAAAGTGGTCCCCGAACTTTTGCCTAATGTTCAATATGGTCCTTGGACTTCTGGTACATGTTCAATATTGTCTCTGAATTATATGAAAATGTTCAATGTAGTCCTTCCATTGAATTAAGATCATGGACAATATTAAATATTTTCATATAGTCTAGGGACTAAATTGAACACGTACCAAAAGTTCAGGGACTATATTGAATAAATTAAAAGTTCATGATCACATTGCACATTTGGCTAAAGTTTAAGGACTATTTGTGTCATTTTCCCTCTTAATAACTATTAAGTAGTTTTAATAAAAAATAATGAAGATTGGATTAAGCTCACAAATCTATATAGAGCAGTGTATTGATGAGCTCGAGCCCGAGTTCGGTTTGACAAACTATATAATTGAATAGTTCGAGCATCAAAAGTCGAAATTAGGGGAATTGATTTTGAATAGTCAATTTCCATCGCCAGGAGAAGTCGAGCCTAATGTAAAAATCGATGTGTATGCCATTAACAATGTACACAAAGGTGCGTACCTCCTATGCATGACGGGAACGATGCCGGCCTTCCACTGAGCAATCTTCATGAACGCGGGCTTGGACATGTCGAAGTGGGCTCGAGGGGGGTTGCACCACCCACCGGCATTGGAGTCCTGGGACCAGTTCGGCGGGCAGAGGTTGGTCGCCGTCACCGTCGTGAACGCAACCCCTTTGAAGCACCAGGGCGACTGGACGCACTTGATCTGGTAACACTGCCCACACGCGTAGCCATCGTTGAACAGTTTAGAGCTCAAAGCGGCCGTGTCCGTCCCATAGCCATTTTGGAAGAGGTTTCCATATCCACAAGCTCCCCCTATGCATGACATTCAGAATTGAAAAGCTTAGTCATATATATGTGGATGTAAATCTAAAGTTGCAGAACGAAAGGTCAAAAGTGAAAAAAAAATCACTCTTAACACGATAAAGAAAGAAGGGAAAGAATGAACACTAAAAGGCATACATACCCATTGTCTCGGAGGCAGTCTCATCCCCATAAAAGGTGGCATGGGCTAGGGACCAAGCGCTCGGCTTAAACCCTGCTGGCGAACTGCTGTAAGAGCCCGCCACGGCCATGGCGGATCTCCCGACGACCACCAGCAGGCAGAGGAGGCCCAGCCTCCACGAACGAAGCAAATCAGAAGCCATCGCTGCCGCTGCCACCACCACCGCCGCCACTAAAATGCTTGATTAGAGGGCCTTTCCTTCTTTCTCTCAGCAGCTTCAATTTCTAACCTCAAGCCTCTCAAATGAGACATTTCCACTTCTATATATATATATGCACACATTGCGGTTGCCCTTCGTGACTCTCACGAAGATGGGGAGCGATTGCATGATTTCTTGGAAGTCAAATGGTGATATGATTAAGATTAGAATTGATTATTGGACCGGCCAAATTTACCAAATGTGGCAAGCAGTTGTACGGAGGGTTTACGACGACAATGGAATTAAGTATGGAGCAACGTGGTTACCTCTTTTTGTACGTATATTGTGCAATGTCTTTGTGGACGTGCGGGCAGGTTCTATCTGGCGATACAGGGGACAGAAAATATATTTGTAAGGTCTAAGCCTATAATAAATTACTTTTAAAGGTCTTCAAGGGAGAGACCAGAAACTTTATTTTAAAAAAGAAAAAAAAGATAAGATAAGATAAGATGCGAGAATAATGCTCATTTGCCCTCGTCTCTCTCGTACGTCGTAAAGGATTCTGCCATCGAAGTAATAGATTTTTTGGGATATTAATCAAAATTCCTTACTTTGAAGGTAGTACATATTTGCCCGTAAACTTTTTGATGGATATATTAGTAGATTTAATGAGATATTCTAAGAAAAAGAGACAAAATTAATGATGTCACACAAATCTTCTTCTTTTTCTGGTAAACTCAAAGTTTCGATTAACGACGAGTTCTTACCTAGCCATTTCATCAATTTCACCGCGAGTTCTTTTTCAGGCACAATCAATTGTCCATGATTTTTGGCAGAATAATGTCAAAATATCATAAATAGTTGTTATGAGCAGGGTCTTCATTCTAAGAACTCCCCAGTGTTCATCAATTCTATACCTGGAAAGTCCACATTGGCACAGCTTACTATTTGTAGAACCAACACTTGGTTCCATGCTCTTACTCAAATGATTGTAGAATCTAAATCTCGTAAGTTACTCTTGGTCTAGACTAGACAAGTTGCCATTTTCCCAGGATGTCGTATCAACTAGTTTCTACATGGTTTAAATATGAAGTTCTGCACGCTTAAGTAAGCTCATTAAATATTGCAGATTAAGTTTCGTTGTCATCATGCATGTATTTTCAACAAATTACATCCAATTCGCATCAGGATTAAGTCATCCTGCTAGCTTTCCCAATTGAGTGAGTTTTTAGGAAAACAATGCGCACCCAGCTCTAACAAAACCAAATTGCAAAAAGCATGCAAGGTTTTTTTTCTCCTGGTAAGTACTCGTTCATTGAAAGATGGGTATTGTATTGATCTTTCTTTTGCCGGTAGATATTTCCTCCAACGGATCTTTGTTTTTGTAGGTCCGATCCGACAGATCTTTGGTTTTTTTTTTTTGTTAGAGACAGATGTTTGTTTGATAGGTTCTTTTTCGAGAAAATTGTTCAATTTTTTTTAAATTTATTGCATTTTTACTAATTCAATCTTAAATCTTTTAGTTATGCCAATTAAGTCCTAAACATTTTCACTTTTTTGCCAATTAAGTCCATCAGATCAATTTTGATTGGAAATCACTAACGTGATAGTGGCCGTCCTATGTGATATGACCGACGCTGATATAGATAATTTTAATGATATTTTAATATTTTTTGGAATTTATTATTATTTTTTATTTTTCCCTTTTTTTCTATTTTTTCCTTTTCTCTTTTTTTTGTCCTGTTTTCCCTCCACTGGCCATCGCCAGACGCCAGGCCTTGTGATGGCCGCCAAGATTGCTAAATCGGGTGAGGGTCACCCTCACTTGAGGCCCGACTATGGCTGGTGGAGGAAAAAACGAAAAAAAAAGAAAAAAGTAGAAAAGGAAAAGAGAAGAAAAGAAAAAAAGGGAAAAATAAAAAAATTAATAAAGATTTTGAAAAAATAAAATATTATTAAAAATTATTCATGTTAGTGCCAACTGTGTCATGTAAGATGGGAAGTGCCCACGTCAGCAATATTTGGTCAAAATTAGCTGGATTGATTCAATTGTCAAAATGTGAAAAATTCTTATGACTCAATTAGTACAATTAAAAGGTTTATGACTAATTGGTAAAAGTGCAATAAGTTTAACATCTTTTGGATAATTTTCCCATTCTTTTTTACACCTAAGTAAGCTATCTTTTTAAATCTCTCTCTCTCATCGCGACCAGTGGAGGGAGCAGTCTCTACATAGCCTCGGGCGACTTTAGGTCTAAGGTTGCCCAACCGGTACACCACTGGTTTAAGGTCAAGACCTCATATGGCGGCCGTTGAGATTGCTGGGGTGGCCACAATGCCCTTTGCGACCCAACCAGTGGAGAAAGGAAGGGGCGAGGGACTGTACCGGTGGAGGTGGTTGGAGACGGAGGGGTTGACCCCGTCTTAAGGGGGTGGCAGTGTAACGGCGGTCGGAAGGGAGCAAAAGAGAAGGAGACGGAGAAAGGGTGTCGGTGATGTGTGTAGGGTTACGTTTTTGAATTTCTTCGCATCTTTATAAATTTAAGGGGTAAATGTGGATTACATAGGTTATATAACTTACCTAATCAAAAGTTTAATTGGACAAAATTTTTCTTTACCCATAAGAAATGGAGGGAAATATATTCCTTAAGAGAAACAATCTCATGCTTACATAAGATTTTCTAATTATGTGTACAAAAATTATATAACGATTGGATGCATTTGTTTTACAAAAAACTCAAGAAATAAAAAATATTTTTCAAAAAATAATTAATTATATCATTCACAAGAAGGAATAAATGAGTAATATTTTCATCATTCATGAATTGTTATTGATAATGACAATATTTTTTTATTAACTAATTTTTCTAAAAAACATAATTAATTATTTTTCGAAAAATATTCGTCAAAACGCAGCCTAAGATCCTCGGTCCTTTTCCAGACGCCAGTGACCACGAGGAATCACGTGGGAAGCCTTTTACGTGAATAATTTAATTAGGCATGCTAGTGTCTACTAATAATGAGGCATGGGAATAGTAAACGGATCTGCCTATTTGATGGTGATTGCTCACTGATGGCACTCACTATCAACTGTAGGCAACAGGAAGATTTAGAAAGATTTAGACATTAGGAAAGCGACCGAGCATTATATATAATACATAGAATTAATGACGATACAAAATTATAAAGTAAATGAAAGGGGCTCTCGTAACACTTTGTATAGTCATTAGGCAATAGTTTATTCAATAGGATAGACTGTCCACAATGAAATCTGCTAGGTTTATATTCACAAAAAACCTACACATACACGCATTTCAGTATATACGAATTTTTTATGTCACTTGCAATATTCAATTTTTTCCTCCGCTCAAAAGGAAGAAAAACTGAAGTAGCAATTCTAGCTATCCAAAAGCTTAAACTTTGGAATGTAGATGTCTACCATGTTATCAGGGTTAGACTTCAACTATTTAATTCCTTTTAATATGGTTCTTTTATCTTTGTGAGACTCTTCATCAACTTATTCTTCCAATTTATTGTGCATTTTCGCATGATTTATTTTGATTTGCATGTGAGAAGGATTATTGAAATATCACAACCTTCTTATTATGAACTCTATATGTATAGAGGAGACCGCCGTAAACTCAACTCTCGTGATAATGGGGCTTTCGCATGAGGGAGAGCCATCATTGGGAGAGTGTTATGATAGAAAATTTGCTCACTTGCAAGACTAGTGAAGCAGGAGAGTGCTTCATACCACAAAAAAAATCATGTCTCAGTATAAAGCTCACTAAGCTTAAAACCTTCATGATGATGAACATGAGGAAGTGGCCAAGATATAAAGGAGACATTCCTGCAATTAATTCCTGAAACAACAAGCTCTTCTTGGATGCAGAAAATGATCGATTGTATCATATACCACAATACATATATACACAGAGCACAAGTTATAAGAATCATCCCAAGTTTTAACATCTTGAACACTACTTATATCCCATAAGTTATGACTAGCTAAGAGAGAAAAGGAGTGCTACCATTTCATAAAACAATCCTTAATCCCCATCGGGGGCTCTACCCTCAAACTCTAGGTTCGTTAACTTCTGTTGCAGCGTGGACAGATTGATGGTTTGCCCGCCAATAATCTGCGCAATGAACAAGGCAAGCTGATTTTTCAAGATCAAGATGGAGAGCTTCCACATAAATCATTTGCTCATCACAAATGGTTGGAGAAAGAAAATTTTCAGAGGAAAAGAAAATTATATTTCAGCTGATACTTCGAGAGTAACTGATATGCGTGAGACGAATCGGGAAGTCCTGGGAGTTACCTCGGATTCAATGCGATGAATTAGCCTCCCGTTTACTTTAGCGGAGGTGCAGTTAATCACGTTCAATCCTTCATCTCCAATCAAAACTTCAAGAACTCTCCTTAAAGGCATCCCTTGTTCTGGCTCGGTACTAATTGCTACTTCCACTCCTGTCTTGCAAGATTTGACAATCACAATGTTCTTGGGACAAGAAGAACAAGAAGAAGGGGGGCATGTAGGCCAATTATTTGTGTCAGTACCACGTGAATTGGGCGACTCCAATTTCTTGAGTTCATCTCTCTTGTCACTCAGTTCCTGGATCTTGCTTTGTATATCCTTTATGTACTTCACTGCTTCATAAACATGATCGGCCATCGATCTCTTCCCCTGCAAGATCATCACACCCCAGATTCATTCTTCCCCATTAAACAAATACTGCAACAGCTAATTAATTCCATGGCAAAAAACTTAAGATGAGATGGAACTAATTATGCACTTTTAGTCGATGTTTTTCTGTTCAGATTCGCTCTTAAATTAGCTGCAAAATTAGTTCCAATAATTGACCTGTGTGCACAAGAAACCAAGAAAATCCTCCATTGCATGCGTAGAATTTCCCCTTACAAATCATTGAAACTGACTCTCTTTTTTTTCCAACAATGAACAAAATGAAAATTTTCTCTTTGGGAGAAAGATCTAGATGTAAACCTTGAGATATTTGAGCGGGAGTAGCGATCTCAATGACCGAAGATGAGCGGCCATTTCTTGCCTTCTTTGTCTTTCGGTTTCTTTGTGCATATTCTTCTTTTCGCCCTTCGGACTAGTCTTTTCAAGGTCACACCTGGACAATCCAGATTTATGTCGCCTATAATCCGGCTGGTCAGCGAGGTCCCGGCCGTATCGACTAGATGAGATCATCAAGAGTGGAGAAGCAGATTGCAACACCTGATCTTCAGTCTCATCAGATGGGATTGTAGATGAAGTAGTATCCATATGTTGCTCTCTCTCTCTCTGTGTGAGGGTCGGATGTGTTTAGCAGACAATGAGATAGATGGGATCTCAGGAGATCATTTGCACAATGAACTGACCTTAGAATGATGTAAAAAATTTTGCGTAAAAAATACTGCATATTTCGAGAAACAGATAGTAGTACTATATTCGCGTGCAAATTTCAGATCGTTAATTTTTACTTTATAATTGTTCTTTTTTTTTTAATTTCGTGGCTCTCTTAATATGACTTTTATTTCACGAATAACACTCAGAACTTTTTGAAATATTTAACCTTTGACATGCGAAATCATACATAACCATTTCATAATTGCTTAAACTTACCATATAATTCTGACCAAAAAAAAAAAACTTACCATAAAATGTGGAGTTTCACGTCTTTAGACTCTGAATCGTAAAGTTTTTTGGAATTTAGTCTTGAAATTGCAAAATGCAATGGGATATCTCAAAAAAAACTATTGAATGCAAAGTGTGGAGTAAAAGCAAATGTTCTCTACTTTTTGTACGACTAATATATGAAAAAGAACCCTAATTTTTTTTATTTCTTTCACATTTTTTACTCATTCTGAATAATGATAGAAGTTCAAAAGGATACTTTCTTGGGATTCGATTACAGCAGCAAGAAATCAGATTTATATTTTGACCCAGCCATCTTTATTCTTCTCAAGAGGATAAGACCTTATGATCTATACTTATAGTATATGATGTAGGAATTATTTTGAGCGTTCGATTAAGTGAATCATATGATATGATATTGCTTGAGATTTTCAACTATCTGTGCATTAACGTCATTACGGAGTTCTTTATTGATGGTGAGGAGGTGGTCGATGATGTGATATGACAAATATTAAGGACAAATCTTATCATGGTAACTCGAAGCCCGAAAAAAAAGCCACATCGCTGTAGATCATCATCTTTATTATTATTATTTTTCCTCATTTTCCACCTACTTTCGTCAAGTAGAGTTTTGGACGAAATAGAAAACTAGGGTTTATGGGTGTTGCAAATTTTTTAAAATAGGCTAAAGGTGGGTAGTTGCCTATCCTAGTTATAGCTTATAGGTCTAGAGGACTATAGCTTCTTTTTAAATGTGCGCAACTTGATTGGACCAGTTTAAATATGAAATCTAACACTGCTGACAACTTGCATCGATTAGTACAAATGAAGCGATGTGTAACTTGTATTTTATGGAAAGAAGACTTGGATTTTTAGGCTCCGTTCGTTTGGCAGAAAATATTCTCCTTTTGGAAAATATTTTCCCGGAAGTCATTTTCCTGGAAAATGTTTTCTCGAAACATAATTTTCCGGTGTTCGGCGATCAATATGAAAAAGTTTCGGAAAATATTTTTCTCCGGCGATCGATGGTCAACGTCCGGCGTCCGGCGGCGGCGGCGGCGGCGGGCGACCGACGACCAACGTCCGGCGCCGGCGCGGCGGCGGCCGGCGGTGGCGGCGGCCGGCGGCGGCCGGCGACCGGGCCGGCGTCCGGCGGCGACGGCCGGCGATTGGCGGCGGCCGGCGCGGCGGCCACGGCGGCCGGCGATCGCGGCCGGCGGCGACCGGCGGCGGCCGACGGCGGCCGGCGACCTTAGTGAAGAAGAAGAAGAAGAAGCTCCGGAAAATGATTTCCGCTTTTGAAGAAGCGGAAGTCATTTTCCGTAGACTTAGGCTATTTTGTGAGAGGGGAAGGAAAATGTTTTCCCACGGAAAACGTTTTCCGCCTCCCGAACACCGGAAAATCTGGAAAATATTTTCCGGAAAAATATTTTCCGCCAAACGAACGGAGCCTTAGTGAACTTTTGTTTCCTTGAGTATGGCATTGGAGTGCTCCAAAATCCACTCATCTTTCAGAGGAATTATCCAATGAACTTATTACATGTACTAAAATGAATCTAAACCGTCGGATCTATAATATGCTTGATGCAATAATTTCCCCTTTCCATTGTGGAATCTCCTTCATGACATCTCCATCTCAATTTCATATCCCCTAGATGAACGTGGGGTAGCTAGCTACTTAACTAAAAAGTCCATCTCCCAAATGGCCCAAATCTAAGGCCCGTTTAACTTCATGCAACAGTCTCGGGTCACGGCCACTCATGGAGGAGGCCTGCTACATCGTCGGACCGATTTGAAGTGCATGAAACCGATTCAATTCACCCTTTTCATTGATGAACCGATAGTCCAATCAGGTCAATATAGGTATTAAATCCTACATTTCTTTCACAAAAACATTCCAAGCACGACTTATGCCTTGTTTGTTTCGTGAAAAATGATGATTTGAAATTATTTTTTTTTAAAAATAATCGCATATATTGCTTACAAAATTTCATAACTGAATAATATTTTTATCGTTTACGAAAATATTTATACATAAATTATTATTGATAACGAAAATATTATTGTTGGCTAATTATTTCAAGGGATACACATGATTATTTGCAGGAGAATATTTTTCAAATCATTCATTTTTCGCGAAATAAACATGGTCTTGGGCTTTGCTCACGACAACTGACTAAATTGGTTGCTTAAAAGATAGACTAGAACTCTTCAAATAAGAAAGCAAATCCACAATCCATTCTTTAAATTACCTAATTAATCTAATTGAAATGTGTTTTTGTATGAAATTAATTACTATATGGGTTAATACCATCAAAAACCCAAAACTATACTCACTGTGACACAAAAATCCCAAACTTTATTTTTTATCATACCTAAACTTTTTTTTGTGTTATAAAAATCCCGAACTTATACTAGTGTGGCAAATATGCTTTGGATGGAAATATAATAGAGTGTATATATCACGTACGTATAAGTTTGGATTTTTTCGTGATAAAAGAAATTGAGGGTTATTCATGTCATAGTGGCTTTTAGGATTTTTGATGGCATAAAAAAAGTTGAGAATATTTATATTACAGTAGGAATAGTTTTGAGTTTTTGATGATAAGAGAAAACTATATTGTAAATAAATTATTGCATACTTGTGCAATATGAATAGTGTACATGTACAGCAAAATTCGCAATTTTTGCATACACTCGGATAAGTGAAACCAATCGATTTTTGGTTTGATTGAATGCAACCGATAATAGCGTGGAGATAGCCGTTGAAAAAATATATACCCTTTTTAACCCCAACGTGTGGACAGACTTTCCTATTATATAAGGGTTAGATTCGGAACAACACGAAAAGTGATGGGAAATACCCGATCTAACCCTCCCTCCCACCCTCTCGTCTTCTTATTCGTCTGTGCTTTCTCTCTCTTTGTTCTTCGTCGTCTTCTCTCCCTTCTTTCTATCTCGGCGGAGGCCCCGTCGCGGCCGAGCCGGCGGCGGCGGCTGTGCCAGATCCGGCCCGATCGAAGAGGGCGGAGCCACCATCTGGCTCCGCGTGCGGCCGATCATCGTCGACGGCACAGGGAGAGAGAGAGAGAGCCGGCTAGGGTTGCGGCTCGGGGACCCGGTGGCGCGGCGCCGCGGAGGCAAGGCTGAGCGACGGCGTGTGGGTTCGCTCTGTGAGTCTCTGGAAACTCGATCGCTCGTAAATGTTTCTATATTTTCCTCGATGATGACGCATTATGAAAGTCGTTTGTTGCCGGTGGTTGTTTTGTTGATTGTGCCTGTTCTTTGTTCTGTCGGGCGTTCTGCGGTTGTATTCTTGTCGCGAGTTTCTTGGTTCTTTTGTGATCGTTTGAGTTTGTCTAGTTGTGGTGCACGACGGCGATGATGTGGGGCTGTGGTGGGTGATCTTCTGAAAGAAAACTAGCGCAGGAACTAAGAAGAACTAAGATTCTTGCAAATTATATCTCTGCCGTGTGAAGTTTCACATGCTTTTCCCAATTTCAGACGCTTCGATGAGTAGCGATTCTGGTGAAGTACCTTATATTGTGCTGTTTCTGACGCTACACTTCCTCAAGTTTAACCTGGTCATTGTCTTTAAAAAAATCTCTCGACTCTGCTACTTTTTCACCAATTTTCGAGCCCAAAAGACTTAGTACAGTGCAATAGAAGTACTTGAACCATCTGCTATTCGACTTTTCTTAATTTTTCCCAGCCATCTCGAATGTTTATCTTGAAAACTGTCTCTTGAAATATTTTTATCCTGGTTCAGTGATTGTCTTCTGTAGCTTTAGAATTAGTCTTTCAAATTGGGTTTCATAACAAGCCACTTTTCTGAGAATTTCGTTTTGAAAATGAGTAGGTTTTCTTTTCTGTTAAAATATCAGCTTCAACTAAATTTTTTAAATCCTCTCGAAGTTGCACTACTTTTCTAAGATGTCTTTCTTTTGCCATCTTTATTGTGCTGTTTCTAACATTACACTTCGTGAAGTTAAAGCTTGTCATTGTCTTTAAAACAATCTCTCGAATTCTGCTACTTTTTTACCAATTTTCTAGCCCAAAAGATTTTAGTACAGTGCAATAGAAGTGCTTGAACGATCTGCTATTCGACTTTTCTTAATTTTTCCCAGCCATCTCGAATGTATATCTTGAAAACTGTTTGTTGAAATTTTTTTATCCTGATTCAATGATTGTCTTCTGTGGCTTTACGATTAGTCTTTCAAATTGGGTTTCTAACAAGCCACTTTTATGAGAATTTTGCTTTGAGAATGCGTAGGTTTTCTTTGCTGTTAATATATTAGCTTAAACTAAATTTTTTTAAATCCTCTCGAAGTTGCACTACTTTTCTAAGATGTCTTTCTTTTGCCATCTTTCTTGTGCTGTTTCTGACGCTACACTTCCTCAAGTCAAACCTGGTCATTGTCTTTAAAAAAATCTCCTGACTCTGCTACTTTTTCACCAATTTTCTAGCCCAAAAGATTTTACTACAGTGCATTAAAAGTGCTTGAACCATCTGCTATTCGACCTTTTCTTAAATTTTCCCAGTCATCTGGAATGTATTTCTTGAAAACTATCTCTTAAATTTTTTTTATCCTGGTTCAAGGATCGTCTTCGGTAGCTTTAGAATTAGTCTTTCAAATTGGGTTTCTAAC